TTTTATTAAAAAGCCATAATAAAGCGTTTTTTTTTCAAATCATAATCAATTTTATTTGGTTATTTTGTTGATATATAAAATAAAAGTTACCTATACATATATATATATATATATATATATATATATATATATGTATGACGTATAATGGCATTTTCGTAATTGGGATGGGATATGGAGCATGCTTCACGTGGGAGATGGACGGCGAGTAAGGGATTCCGGAACAAGGAGAAATTTGCTTCCAAAAGTACAACTTCCGTCAAACTCCTCCGATTCGGTCGGTGTCTACGTGGCACTCCTAATGAGCCTTCTCCAATTTGGTCGGAGCTGAGGACAATCTCGTCTTTTCACCTCCCCAGTCTTCCGTTTTCAATTTCGGCTCAGTCACGACAATTTTCGCCTTTACAGCCTACCCACATCCACTCACTCCAATATTTTCTATTTTATTTATTCCCATTAAATTTGACATTAATTACAATTTACAACCCATCTGCCGTAAAAAAAAATTTACAGTTTTGATTATATTATATAGACAACTCACACGCCGGATTGCATACCGTATAATGGTTTTGGTGAATTGCGTAATTAATCTGCACAAGTTACTACTATATTTCTGTCGTCGTGTCCTATGACATATCCTATCTATGGAGGACCCTCTTGGCAGTCTCCCTGAAAGGACACGTGGAGCTCACGAAGCCATCCACCAAATGGAGGTACGTCTTCAGCTCGTGACACGTGGCGACGTTGATGCTGTTCACGTACGGCGAGTCTCGGCTGCTCAGCCGTAGCTCCTGCCCTACCTCCGCGTACGCCCATGGAGTCTTCTCCACTCGCTTCTGTATCCATTCCGGCAAAGTTAACGCCGTCGCCATTTCCACGTTCTTGCTGTTGGGTTCTTCGTCTTCCTGGTTCATGACAACTCCTGGAACTTTCGTTATGAGATCGTCTGAGTTAACGATTCTCAGCACTTTGGTTCCTTGTTTCTCCAGAAGCCTCCGGAAGCTTCTGTTTCCGACACGTGGACCTCCGAAGGATATGACGGTGACCATCGGGGGCTGTTTGAACGTTGTCTTGACGTCGTACGCCGTTAGAATCGCTAACGCCGCTCCGAGGCTGTGGCCGGTGATCGTTAGGCTTAACGGCTCGTCTCCGTAGGCCCGGAGAAGCCTTGATATCTCGTCACGTACCATATCCCTCAAGCTGTGGGCCCCGGAGGTGTACATGCTCAAGAATCCGCTTTCGACCATCGGCCCAGAACCCGATCTATCTGGGCCTGGCCCATCAGGAAGGTGGGTCAATGTGGCCCGGATGTTTTCGAGCCACTCGAGACACGTGGCAGTGCCGCGGAACGAGATCACGATGTCTCTCCGGCCAAGGCGCGAGATCTCCTCCTTGTCCTGACAGACTGCCACGTAGCCAATCCAGCTGGACTGTGTCGCCACCCAGCTCGGCGCCTTCTCAATCCAGCGTGGTAGCTGGATACCGGAAGTCGTCCGGAGATTCTTGGTTAACCGGTAACCGGTTCCCGGAAAACCGGACCGTTCAAGCAATGTGCTCCTGGGGAAGCGACACGTGGCGAACGTGGGCGATGAGGGGTCGAAATCGTAAGACTTGTAAGCGGCTTCGACGAACTTTCCGTACCGGAGAATCTCGCGGCGGAGATTGTCGTCCAATGGGTCCAAGAGACCGGTCCAGTTGCGGAGACCTTGGTACTCCATCCATCGCCGGCCGAGCTTAACCGGTCTGATGCCATTACACTCGCCGGAATCTTGTTTTAGCAGCAAGCGTTCCCAGGTTTCTTTTTTCGCGGGTGGGTCCATAGATAACGTCGTCTGAGACGGAAGAGTGAGAGTGCAGCGACAGTAATTATCTGTTCTACGTCCATTTGTCGAAGAAACGGCGTCGTATCTCTGTCGTGAGGAGAGCACGCTGTCCGAACGTACCGGCGCAACGGAGAGCCTCATACTCTGTGTGTATGTATGTGTATATATATATATTTATGCGTGCGTTGTGGGTTGTATAAAATTACGTTATTTATAACGAGATAGTAGAAAGCAGTTTAATTGAAATAAATATTCTTTTTTTCCTCTCGATGTTTTTGAGGAATACAAAAAAAAAATGTGTAAGGATCAAAGAGAGGAGATTGAAGAGATGAAATGAAAACGAAGGGGAAGATTTTTGCATATTGGATGGAAGTGTGAAATTGGACCGATATTTATATAGAGGGAGAAGATATCTTCAATGTCCTTAAAGATCTATGAAAACGATGGGACCTCACCAAGCTCTCTCTGTCTACCAATCATACTATATGCTTTTTTATGTTATGCCCACATTTAGTGAAGATCGTGCTTGTGTGTGTATACACTAAAATTTCGTGGGTTTGTGTATATAATTGCCACACTCAATGATGGGGAAATAAAAATCCGTTGAAAAGTCTACGTACGTACGTACGTACGTGCCATATGGTACACGCATCCCCTCTATCCCTCGTTTATCGGGTATGAGATTTTTTTTTTTTTTTTTTTTTACCAAGTGTCAGAAAATCCTCTTCTGTTGATGTAACAGTGGATGACGGTCGGTGAATGTTCGGTAATAATTTACGCATATCTTGATATGCTACGCACAGGAAAGATATATATAGCCATTTTAAAGAACAGCCAAATATGATACTATTCCAAATGAATTGCCAAATAATCTTTATAGATCTTTTACTAATGATGTAAACACAAATATATATATATATATATATATATATATATACTTCGTTATTGAATATAATATCAGACAGTCAAATATTAAATATTAAATATAAATACTATCTATAAAATAACACATTAATAAAATTATCTCGCAGAAAACAGAAATATAATGCACTAAAATATTATTTAAATTGACAAAAAAATCGATAGGTTTAAAGTCTAATTATATCCTCGATAAAAATAATTTGGATTCTAATAGTAATTATTTGATGTTATACTGCCGTCCAAATAATTCATTTGATCTTTTTTTCTATATAAAGCTTATTTTAACCGTGCAGTGAAAAAAATAGGACGTAGAAAATTGGACGGCTGAGATGAGGGTAGAAAGGGTGAAGTGGACTCAGATTCAAAGCCGACCGTTAATGTGACACGTGTGAGTCTCTCACCGGCTTGGCTTCAGCTTCCCTTAGCTTTGCCTTCGCCGGCTTTGACCATATGGTCCTTTTACTTATAAAGCATAAACCAATGGAATTTTTCATTAAATTAAGTATTTTCTTTATAGTTAAAACTATTGTATTTTAAAGAATATCATCTTTAACATTTTATTTTAAAAATATAATTTTTTAAAATAAATTCGAGGGAACTCTTTTTAAATTAATGATTATGTCCATCATTTATGTTGTATTTTTATGTTGTTATAATATTAGTTATCTCGTCTTTATTACGTAATTTTTTGTAGGAATTATATTTGATCGCATTAATCGTCAACCCTTCACCATCTATCTCATTGATAATCTATAATATAATATATTGTATGAATTTGTGTGACTTGTTTACAACACACACACACACACTAGATTAGTGACGTATTTGAGATATTATATTCAAGTTAAATATCGAGCAATATGAATCAGATGCTAATATAAAATCAAAATTAATGTTAAAGTTAAACGTTGGAGATGACAAATCTTAATTAGAAGCATTGTTCTAAGAATAGAGAGTGGAGACATTAAAGGTCACAAAATTCAAATGGCGATTTGTCTCGTGTGCCGCTTTGGCCGGTCCGATGAGTTTGGTTTCATGCTTTGTTGTTCGGACAAAAGAAGGAACCCGATAGAAAGCCAAACGAGTCATCGGTTCGAATTTCCACACGTGTTTTTCTTGAATCTTTTTTACATGTTAACCTCGTGCTTTGACAACCCATGTCCCATTGATTGCCTCCTTTCGTTTATGTGTCTTTTAGATGTTTTCCATTACTCTTCTTCTTTTTCTTCTTTCTTCTTCTTCTTGTTTTTATCTCACGATTTTGTGTTTATAGTTTATATATTTTAAGCATAGCCATGGATATTCAACATCAATTCAATGAACATATCGTAAACTTGGACTCGTCCAAGGTATAGAATGATATTAATATTGAATGGTTTAAATTTCATTCCTTAACATATCATAATTATAGATTCTACATTTTATGGCATTTGTCGAAACATTTTTAGAATGCATCCAAACATACTTAGTGTGCATCCAAACATGTTTAGAGTGTATTAAAACATTTTTAGAGTGCGACAAAACATGTTTAGAGTTCGTCTAAATATGTTTAGAGTGCACCAAAACATGTTTAGAGCGTCAAAACATACTTAGAGTGCTGACGCCGAGGAAGAGAAGCAACCCTTTGAGCCATATGAGTTCACAAGTAGTGACCGCCATTGCGCGGTATTCAGCCTCTGCGGAAGAGAGAGAAATAGTATGTTGCTTCATAGACTTCCAGGAGATCGGAGATTGACCGAGATGAATAATCCAGCCGGAGAGTGACTTTCGTGAACGTGGGCATCCCGCCCAATCCGAATCACACCAACCATATAAGCGGAGATCCGAATCTGATCGTAATAAAATCCCTTGCCCCGGGCGACGCTTAAGGTATCGAACGACACGAAGAGCTGCTTCCCAATGATCTTGTCGAGGTTCTTGCATAAACTGAGACAAAACGTGTACCGCATAAGTGATATCGGGTCTGGTGGCAAGGAGGTATATAAGACGTCCAACGAGACGACGGTAAGGCTCGGGGTCTTGGAGAACAGCGCTTTCGGAAAGACCTAAGCGATGATTCTGATCCAGAGGAAATGCAACTGGTTTTGCGCCCAACAAACCCGTTTCTGACAAAATATCCAATGTATATTTGCGTTGACACATCGAGATACCCATAGGACCACGAGCAACCTCAATACCGAGGAAATACTTAAGAGAACCAAGATCCTTCATATGGAAGCAATGGCCAAGGTACTGCTTGAAAAGAGTCACGGCTGCCACTGAATTGCCTGTAACAAGCAAATCGTCAACGTAAATTAAGACATGAATCCGAGTCTCGCCTTTGTGGAAAACGAATAAGGAATGATCCGACTGCGATTGGATGAAACCATAAGTTAGGAGCGCTGAAGCAAGCTTCGCAAACCAACATCTCGGTGCTTGTTTGAGACCATATAAAGATTTCCGTAGGCGACAGACGAGATGAGAAGAAACCGTAGAAAATCCCGGAGGGGGTTTCATGTAAACCTCATCAGAGAGATCGCCATGGAGAAAAGCATTGTGTACATCCATCTGATGGACATCCCATTTTCGAGCCGATGCCACGGCTAAGAAAGTTCTCACGGTAACCATCTTAGCAACGGGAGCAAATGTCTCCGCATAATCGATTCCTTCTGTTTGCTTGTTTCCGAGGATTACTAGTCGGGCTTTTCGGCGTTCAATGGACCCGTCAGAGCGATACTTGAGTCTGAAAACCCATTTACACCCTATGGCTTTCTTTGTCGGAGGCAAAGGTTCTAGAGTCCATGTCTGATTGTTTTGGAGAGCATCGAGCTCATCTTGCATCGCTGCTCGCCAATTATCATCTCGGAGAGCTTGTTGGTAACTGCGAGGTTCAGATTCTGCAGTAACAGCAGCAACAAAGGCCATATGCGAAGGCAGAATATTAGAATAAGAGAGGCATCTATCAATCGGGAAAGCAGTACCACACTTGGACGATGCAACATCAGGAGAAATCTGCATAGCATATGCGAAGGCAGAATATTAGAATAAGAGAGGCATCTATCAATCGGGAAAGCAGTACCACACTTGGACGATGCAACATCAGGAGAAATCTGCATAGCATTGGTGACGAAGTTTCGAAGCAGAACATTCGGAAGCTCTGATACCATGTCACGTACCAGGTTCGAGGGTGAGAAAATATGCGGCTGCTTTATTCAAGCTTTTTACATTAACTTATATACATTCTCTGTAACTTAACCTAGCCTATAAATTAGGAAATGCAATCTGTAGATATAACAACTTCACATAATAGTCATATATATTCCATTAGCATTGATAAAAATACATCCAAAAAAAGTGACGCAAATGAAGAAAATGATCGTGTATCAAGGAGATTTTTCAAATTTTGTCTGATAGAAAAAATTAGAAATATGTTATTAATAGAGATTTTCTTACATGTACTTTTATACACTTCATTTTTTTTCTCAAATAAGTTGCCCTTTTTCTGATTTCTTACATGTTGTACGGATAAAAGAGCTGGCACCTTTTACATGTGGAAAACAAGTCCTATTCTTTGCTTTAACCTCGTTATTCTCTTTGCGTATTTGCGTATGTATACGCCGGCCAAATATGTGAATTCTTGAAAGCATAGGTTATATCTCTTTCGCACCCACTTCATTTCAAACCGTTATATGCCCCTTTTAAACGTTTCTGTGACAAAGCAAGGGAAGTGAGTCTTGGTCGTGATTTACATCCTCAAACCATATGACCCAACAAACGTTATATGTCTTAGAATCCAACCAAACTCAGAGTCCTATTGAGCTCGTCGGAGTTACACTTTATTAAGCCAAACCCGGGAGATTATATATGAAACATATATAGAACAATGTAAACTCTTTGTAATTAATTTCTCAATTCATTAAGCCATTCTTCAACATCGGATTTCGATTTCTATATATAGCATTTTCGAATCCTTGAACGCTTAACGTTTTAAGAATATTGTTATTCATCTTCTTGCTCTTCGATGGAAATCCATCTAACCGCCTCATGTCTCTCCGTAAAACCTGAACATTTAGACGTTAACTCCGATTTTTGATAAATCGTACCAGTTGGAAACATTCCACACCGGGATATATACAGATATATACATACATATATATATATATATATGCGTGTATGTGTGTTTGGTAATAACGTGGTATATATTAATTAATTAATTTGTCCAGTTTCTTAATGTAGGTAGGTAACCCGGTTTAGACAATTTAGTTTTGGTTGCGTAGTTTTTGATACGTAATCATGCATGCATGCCCTAGTTACAAAATGTGAACTCGTTTAGAATTAGATTCAGAAGCATTTTCGCAAAGACGTAGATTCAGAACTCGTTTAGGAACGTAATGGACGGACACATAAAGACGTCGCAAACTCGCCACAACAATTGCGGTTCAAGATCGATAGGATAATGCGGAACATACTCATATCCTTGCACAAGCCGGATTCTACCGGATCGAATGACCCATCCAACAATAGTATCGCCTTATATATTATGACTGAGATTTAAGTCTTCGTTATTTTTGTTCACTTGTAATAGGAATCATTATCTCTCGGGATCTTTGGTATATGTTAAACTCATGTAAACCTTCGGGTTATTTTTTGGTAGTAATATAACAATCACATTAAACCAAAAAAAAAAAACATTGGCGTTTTTTTCGTTCCTGAATTTTGGGGGAATTCCAAGTGAAAGTCAGATTAAATGAGCCGTTTTTACGGTTCATCAATAATATGTAATTTTGTATCATATGCTAGCCGATAAAAACACGTGCTTTATCCTCGAAAAGGACGGATCCACGATCGATCTATATTCCAAAGTATTCCATATTCTTAGAAGACAAACAATATATACTTTATATAAAGCAGATATTGTAAATAACTGTATTTAGGGTTTAAATATAACACGTGCGTATCACCAAGGACGACTATATATATTTGCTAAAATCATAGAAATGCAATAGAAAGTTTCATGAGACACGCCACCTTAAATAACGGAGGAGAAGAGAAGAAGAGCACATGAAATGAGTGCAAAATGAGATTCTTTAGTTAGAGATCAATCAAAACGATTATGCACATCAAGCGACGTGAGTGACCCTTTTCCTCTTTTGTAATCAACAGAAAATTCCCTTCTTAAACATCGATGTGCCCTATCTATCTATATAAATATTAACCCCTTTATTAGGTATTTATATCAAATGAACATGGACCTCGTGGGGACATAAACACATTAGGTTTTGTCCGTAGCTCTCTCGATCTCTCTCTATGATCCAATCTGATTTCACTTTTATTTTTCTAATTCCATGCATTTTCATTGTGGAATTTCTTCTTTCGGGGCCATTTGATCACGCTGCTACGAAAACACAAAGGTGTTTTAGGAGGTGTTGATAAAAGTCGTTTAAATTAAAGGCGATTTGAAATAACATTTTTCGACTCTTTTTTTTTTATAATATTTTGGTATTGCTAACGAGTTATATATAGTGTGAACTTGTGAAAAAAAAGTATCCATGAATAAAAAGATTGTTGTTAAATCTACTTTTTTAGGTCAAATGTTATTAAGCCATGAATCGTGCATGCCCTAGATTTATTTATTTATTTATTTGCGTTGTATGTAGAAATTGAGTGCGTAAATTTTGTTTTATGAATGTATGTAAATGACATTATATATATATATATATGTGCGTGTGTGTGCATGTGTGTATAAGCGGTAACAAGATGCTATAAAACTTGAATGATTTGGAATACGATTAATTGATTTCTACCTTAAAGGTATGTGTATATATATACAACAAAAAAGATGCATAATATATACATACACATACACATATTACATGTATGCATACGTTGACGATGTAAATCCAACGTGGGTACATAGAGATACGTTGTTATAATTACAACTACATATGATCCTTGACTGAAGTTTTGGTCTGTGGCTAAAGTTTTGTATGGCACGTACGTAATGGTTTTTGTCACCTTTTTTAAAAAAAAATATAACTGTAGTAGTTTATATTATATTTTATTCACAATAGTCTTTGTCACCTTAAACTGCGAAAGTGTGAAAAAAAAAAACTGCCAAAGATATATGAATTATGCTATTTATAACACCGCAAAAAAAAGAAAAGAAAAAAAGAAAAGTATATTATGGAATTCTTGCGTCCAATTAGCCATGAAAACAAAAAGAAAAATGGAAAGCCGATGTTCCAAGTCAGAAATCGGCTCGCTTTAGCCGAGCCGTAAAGTATTATTTTTTTCTTTTTAAAAATATTGTATTTTTCTAAATTATTTTGCTACTGTACATTAATTTCTTTTTTTTCTATACAAATTTCTAAAATTATATAATACGAAGTGACATTTGACTGTCTCCTTTTATTTTGTCAGTCGAAGAAAGAATACAAATTTTATATAGAATTGAAAATCCTTCGTATTTAATTACTACGTATATTAATTAGTAATATAAAAACTAAAAAAATAAAAAAGTATGGGGATCCATAATATCTTTGGGGAAATGAAATATCTAGCAATCATTATAACGTTAGAAAAATAGAGTTAGGGAGTAATTTCGGAATAGTGGCACTAAGTTTACATTAAATATGGAATTGTTTGGATATTTACCTTAAATGGCTATTGATAAGATTTCTCTCGTTCCTCTTCCTCTCTCCTTTCTTTCTCCTACCATCCCCTTAAATAAATATATACTTACAGTGTGTTTGGGTCCAGAAAAAAATCAGAGCTTCTATATATACATATATAATATATAATTGGAATTTTGTAGCATACCGAAACTATGTTATATAAATAAATTTTAAATCTCAGATTTTAAAATCGGTGCATTGTGGTTTAGGAGATGGCCCTGCATTTTTAATTGGCTATTGTCCAAATATATATATATATATATATATATATATAAGATTTTTTAATATATGTAAAGTTATATGTCTTGGGTAACCGAGAGTGGGATTAGAGAACATGTTTTGATTTGAAAATATTAAAATGAATTAGATAGTTATATTTATATAAAAAATATAATATGAAAATTGAATCTTGATTAATTATATTAAATAATTAATAAAATTAAAATAGAATATAAAATAATAAAAATTATAATGTGATAAAATATTTTTAAAAAGAATTATTTTTAATGCAAATAAATTTGAATTATATCGAATATAAAAATCAAATAGATATAATATTTTTGTAAAATAAAAATTCAAACTAAAACTTAAAATATAAAATTTGAAGTATAGTTATCTTCCAAATGTTATAAAAACTTTTAAAAAATAATTGCATTTTTTGGAAAAAAAAATAGAATATGGTTTTGGCACTATGCAGTTTGTCCGGATGAACACAAACATACAGCAAGGAGGGTGCATGCTTGAAAATCGGTGGGTCCATTTTCCTCCTTGTTGACTAGTAATTTCTATTTTATTCCACCAACCACTATTATTATTATTATTATTATTATTATTATTATTATTATTATTATTATTATTATTATTATTATTATTATTGGACCATTAATTTCACTCCTGTTATTTGCGCCTACAAATTTATTTTTATTTTTATATTCCAGTGTGAATATATTTAAAGAAGCGAATCCGTGCGTTCCTTTATTTAATGACATTGAATGTTATATCTGTGAAAAAACTATATTATTAGAGAAAATACTATAAAATAAATAGACAGAGTTGTCAATTTATTTAATGGGAATAAACTCACTGACACACTTTATTTTGTATATTATTTTTTGGAATACATATGTTAAAATATTGGAATATAAATCTTATATTTTCACATATTTTTGGGACAAGAGTTAAATTTTACAGATTTTACTTTGATAAAAAAATTTACCAAAGGAATCAATTATTGCTGTGTACAAATAAGTTAAAATCTATCACAGATCTTAAGAATCCTTTATCCTAAATTTCTTATATATACTTATTCATTATACATACTCCAATATTAATTTGGAGGACCGTATATTTCGTCGAGTTTGGATATTAATCATGGACAGAGATATGATACGAAGGCATATCTATTTAATTAGAAACTTTTTCATGTGTTTAAATTTAATAAAAAAATACTTCTTTTTATATCCTAATAAAATTAAATAAATATTCCTAATAAAAAAAATATTTCTGCCGAATCTAGAAAAAAAATGTTTTGGACCCATAGTTAGGCCGAGTCTGACCATTTTTTCTACAAAAAAGACACCCTCTCAGCTAATTATATTTGCTTTTTTATATATATATTATTTTTTTGTGTTACTACGAGGTCTGTCTGCTGACTTTTCTTCGTAATCTAAAAATATAATGAACATAACAAATCAATTAATATGTTTTTTTTTATACATCGGAAACCCCGTCTGCAACCCTTCGGGCGCGCTGACCGAGTAAACCCAAACTCATACGCACGAGCCTGCAAAACACGCATGAGATGTGAATCAGCCGTAACTGACAGACGATATGTGAACGGGTAAGGAGTCGAACCCCCAACCTCTCGGTATGTTGACCATGCTCCTCGCCAATTCACCTAGGGGTTTCTCCCAATCAATTAATATGTTGGTATCAAGTGGGAAATGAAATATTATATGGTTTTGCATTCGGCGTATAAATGTGAAACAACAAGAGGGGGTCCAATTTACAAATTTATGCGTATCTGTATGAATATATATATATATATATATATATGTACACAAAACAAGAAGGGCAAAGATGTCTGTAATTATATGAGCTCACCAACAGTTCCAAAACAACCATTTAAAGAGAGCCAGCTGCTTCCGATTTTTGTTGTTGTTGTTGTTGTGTGGACTAATTAACTTGTTGTTGTTTTTATTTAGATCCGATTAATAATTAGACCGACACCGTCCAAATCCCAATTATCATCTGATTAATCCCTTGATTGTCGGAGTATTAAAAAAGTCACTGCACTTGCATTATATATAGTAGACATTAAGTTGACGTTGTGAATCCAAGCAAAGATTTCACGTTTTGATAACGTTTTTTCAATTGGGTCGCAGTCCATTTTTCTTATAACAAATCCATATTAACTGGTTTTAAATGTCCGTTAGATATCATATAAATATCCATGATTAGTGACTGAAAATGGTCGAACTTACATTTGATTGGATGACGATATCATTTTAGCTTTGGTGAGGGGATGCCGAAGCACATTGACCTTACATATTTTTGTCTTATATGACTTTGACTTTCATTTGTGTCAGATATGATTTTGACTTTTGAAAATGTCAATCTTACCCCTGAAGGAATACATACACATTACAGGCCCATTAACGGCCCAAACTGTTTCGGCAAATCTCTCAAATCATTTCGGAGGGAGACCATCAAGGAAATTGGATCAGTTTCTAACCACGCGCTTTGCTTTTTGAATGAGCCATCACCTCTTCTGAACCCATTGCCTCGTTGATCTTACTGGTTTTTGGGCACTCTGCTTCTTTCTGTTGAAGTTACGGTTTCGGCTGCTTCCTGTTCTGTTGGAACAGCTGCTTGAGTCTGTCCCTACAGCGGCTTTTGTCTCTGTCTCTTCATTTTCAGAAGCTTCTCGGGTTGATGATTTCGGCGACGTAGTCGGAGGAAGATACATTCCGGGCACGACCGATATGCTTTTCTTAGTTTGGACGAGACCTCCTCTCTCTTCCTGCAACTTCAGTATGGCCTCAAACCGCTCTCTTCTTATGTTCTCTGAATCTGACTGAAGCAGCAGGCTGTTCTCTTCGCCTACCGTCGCATCCGAACCCTGCTTTATCATAAAGTATGACGGAAATCATAAGTTTGAAACCCGCGTAGAAGTTATAATGCATTAAACAACGGAACAGGAGGGTATGCAGAATTTGTCAGCTGAATCTGTTGGTGCAATAGCAATGGTAGCCGGCACAATATGAAGATGAAGCTGAAGTTTGACATATCACCTGCTGAGACGATTTAGCACTGATCAAGCCAAGAACGTGTTCTAGATCACTTGCATCAAAAACCTTACGACACACTGGACAGTTTCCCAAGTTTTTGTCCGGTAATCCAGGATTGCCTGCGAGATATCGTTTGTTTGGATCAATCAGATAAGAGAAAGATTTCTGTGAGAAGAATTACTGTTTTATCTATGTTCTTTTCCAGTTTATCCTGATATTCATTCCGTACGAACCGTGTTGATCATGCATCTCCCTAGGCGGATGTAAGGCGTCACTAGATGAGTCATTTGAATCAGCTTCTTTCTGTGTGAGAAGCCAATTCCACCATCTAATGATGCATTCACTGTTCAATTCAAATTAAAAAGAAAAAGAATGAGATAACTAAGACAATCGGGGAAGCAAGAAAACAAAACATCTGGTGCTAGATTAAAAAAAATCCCTACCAGTGAAAGCAGTGAAAACAAGACATCAGCTTCATAAATGGCAAGTGTGTACTCTGACCATCCTCTGGTACTAGCGGGTATAAACACAACGGGCAATCCCCATCCGGGTGATTCATAACGGTGAGCCTCTCAACTGCTTCCTGGGAACATATGGAAATCAATGTTTCACATGTACAGGAGATTCTACTCTAAACCACACAACATTATCTTCGATTCAGCAACCTTACCATCAAAGAGAAATGCTGAATCTGCAGATCATTTCTCTTTTAACCAGTTCACCATTTTCTTTCTTTACTTAATTCGATCAATTATTTCTCCCCCTCAGACTATTAAGTCAAATGTAACAATTTGCAGGAGCATACGAGAAGAAATGTAACCTTGTACCTCACAAAGTGCTACTAGCATTAGAGAAGATGAGAATTCATGAGCTTTTTCTCGCACAGTGCTCATCAGATGCTTTTGCCTTCGGTCATCAAGACCCTTCGAATCTAAGAGGCTGATCAAAGGCGGATCCTCCGGATACTGAAATAGCAAAAGGAGTGAACTTCGCTTAATATGAGAATTAAGGGCCTCAAGGAGAAGCTCTACCTCTACATTAATCACACTGATAATTTGATACCACCAAAGAAACTGCAATACCTTAAGATCTGCTTGTATTCCCATAATCGCTTCCACAAACTGCAAAGTGGAAAAGCCAAATGATAAACAGGCTGATCCCTTATACAATATCAAAGATTGCAAGAAAAAAAAAATCAAGATAATGACTAAGAAAACGATATGAGCAATTCAAGTTACATATCTATTTCCACCTAATTATACTTCAAAGGAACAATCATGTTGGTTTTCCGTCCAGTGCACCGGCAATGGAATAGAAAAACCCTAAATAGACGATCTCACTTGAGATATTCTAGGATTTCTTCCTCTCATGCCAGCATATTCGATGAGACAATCAAAGAAAAGGCGTATATGTGTGACGATGATCGCAGTTTCTGACATCACGTGAATAGAAAAAAAAAACACATAGAAAGAGCCCGACCTGTTGGGAAGAGATGTCGGCGGTGCGGGGCTTGATGTGGAGTTGAAGATGAGGAGGGTACGAATTTAGTACGATGCAATCCTCTCCGTACACCGCTTGCACAGCCTCCACTTCCATGGCGACCTCCTCTTCTTCCGCCATTTTCAGTCTCTCTTTGAGATGATCCCGAAAGAATCAAAGAATGGAGAACAGACTATAAACGTCTCCCCGATATTTAAGAAATTTTCAATAACACCCCCTTAATATACGAGAGTTTCCAATTTCAACCCAAACATTATTCCCTCTCAAAGACAGCCCTCTTGATTGGATTTTAAAAAAACCGATTGGTGATAATGGGCCCATTTTCTCTGTTATGGGCCATATTAAGCCCATATTAGATCCTCCCTTTTCCGCATCGATTTAAGGCCCATAAAATTACCCTTTTTGCGAGAATAAACAAAACATTGGCGGTTAGCGGAGTACAGAACATTGAATCCTTCATCGGTTTCTTTCTTGTCGTATGTTCTGACGTTGTGGATCGAGCCAACTAGCTTTGATTCTCTGAATTGGGTATTTATTGCATTAAATGTAAATATATATTTTTTTAAAAAAAAAATGATGAAATGCCAATTTCTCCGTTGTATACATTGATATGCATAATTTGCATCAACTTGCGTCTTGAAAAGAGAGAAGAAGATTCATGCATGTCTATCTGATGACGATGACGATCTCTTGCGCTTATATTTTACACATTATCTTAAGAAACCGACAATATATATATTCATCTCTGCATATATAGACAAAGGGCGTAGTACGTAAGTAAATGCATGCATATTCAAACCCGAGTTGGAAATTTTTTCAGCATCTCCTGTTCTCTCTCTTGGTGTGCGTAATGGATGTGCGTGTAAAGAGTTCGGTTAAAAGTGAAGAAAAGGCAAGATTTTCAAAAGCATTTAAATCTTTTTTATTGTTTGCAATAAACACTTGTATTCTTCTTTCCTTTTCAATTAATATTGTCGGTTTAATAGTTTTAGATTGATCTGATTTTTTTGTACACAATACTATGATGATATGATCTTATTTGTGGCAAAGTTTCATAATTTTCTGAACACGGGAACTATTTTTCCCGAATTTTTTACCGAATATCGTCGATAATTCATAATAATTACACACGATCGAGTTTTTCAGCAAAATTTCTTGGGAAGCCTCTGCATCTCATATTTATGTTTGTGGTATAAATTTCATTCCATTTGAAAAAGAAATGACTGTCTTTGTTAAAAAATATCGAAGGTAATTCGTTTTTTTCTTCATATTTATGTTGTTTTTTCAATTAAAAATGCCACCCACTTTCTTTTTTTTGCTTTAATTTGGTTATGCATGTGTCAAAATGGTATAGTAATTTTTTTTGGTTAAAGAATGGTATGGTATAGTAATCACATATTTTTTTCAGGTTGTTATTATAAACTTAGAGATATTTGAATGGTATACATTATAATTTCTTGTTTATGTTTTTTTTTTGTAACCGGGTATCTTGAACCAAAGTCCAGACTAATTCTGGAGCCGGGAGTACTTTCTTGTTTATGTTGAATAACAACAATTGCAAACGGATATTTTCTTCAAATGGAAATTTATTTTTCAATTGATTAATTCAATTGATCGTGTGGTTTTAGGAATGGTGGATCTGTTTCCTACCCCGGCCGGCAATATAGTTCATGCTGTTAATTGGAAGGTAAAGTAGATGTTTTTTTTAACTCCTTGTTCATCCATATATACAAACAGAGTTAAAATGAGATATATAACTTTTCTAAACCCTAAATAAACTTGTGATCAAGGTGTTATCAAACATGTTTTGCTCAATTAGACCTTTATTGCCGGTTAACTAGCTTTATTCATACATACATATTACATATATATATATATATATACATTCATACATATATATATATATAATTATACATTAAAATGCATGAATGTGGTCGTGAACGTACGTGAGTTCCATTTGCCCGATTCAATATCTGATTGTCAATGGAAGTCCATGCTTAACCCTTTAATCGTAACGTTAGATAAGTTTTTTTTTTGGGTAACCGAGATACGTCGGCCTGATGTCCGGACTAATCCCGAGTTAGAGGGAAGTCATGTGAATACCTCCTCCCCACTCTAATGTTCGAACTCGCGACGGAACAGACGTTTTACGTCCCCATTTTACCGGTTGAACTATCTATGTTGGGTTAACGTTAGGTAAATTTTATTCACGGTGCAAAAATATTTAAGTATTATTAATAGATATATTAATTTACATTTTCTTTTTGGGTGCAGATTACTTTATGTTTGGGACATTTTTTTTAAACAGGAGCAGAATTTGAAATCTTATATCACACTGGTGGTCCTAATTCTTTTTATTTGCTGTCAATATAAACTTATACTTTACACCTATTTTATTACATAAAATAAAATCCGAGCACACGATTTGTAGAAGTAATTTTTTTTTAAAACTTTTTTTAATCTCTGTGATGTTTTTATGGTTTTCTTTTTCCTTTTTTTAATTGTACTTTTGTGCATATATTAAAATATGTGTTAATAGAGAATCCGATATGAACTACTACTATATGATAGATTACCACTTGCTTTAATTTAAATAAATATAACTATTGTGATATTTATAATTTAGTTTTTTCATAGTTCATGTTCCCAAATTTATTCATATATTGTGATAATTAAGATGTAATAATAATGTATTGTTTATTTATTAAAATTTCGGATTTTATGATAATACACACAATATAAAACTGCCTCGAATCATATCTTAAATTTATTATATAAAACTTATGACATATCGACTCCATAAAATATAAAGAACATGTGATGCAAGACATATAATAAAAATATATTATATTATCGTGTTGTATAACAATTAATTGAAATTTTCAAATATATATGTATATTTTTTTTAATGTCCGTTGTAGAAATATTATTTCCATTAGAATACGTAACAATAGTTTAATTTTTTTTCTCATATATTTAATAAACGTTATGCTTCGTTTCATTTGTTTCTATAACGGCTAATGACAACAACACTGGTTATTATAACTCAATTTTTGCTGTATCAATAAGCATATATCAATTACCCCTGGCCCTGGACATAGATTGAAGACGTTAAGGATAGTGGGGACTGACCCTAAATCATCTATTAACATCAAATTAATCACGTTTTTATGTTAAAATTTAAATTGGGAAAACATTTATGTCAAATAAAAAAAAAGTTCAGCGGAAAAAAAATCGCAGAAGAATCCAGAAACGTCCTGCCAAAAAAAAAAAAAAGAGAAATCGATGAACGCCAAAACAAAGGGTTGTAACGTTCGGCGTCTAGAGAGCTTCGCCGGAACGGAGAGCCGTAATTGGAGAGTCGATCGGAGAATTCTGCGCAACGGTGATCCTCTCTTGCGAAGGTTGTATGTTCGCTCTAGGTTTCTGTAAGTGGTTCGATCTCCACGCCGCGATTCTTTTGTAAGATTTGTGGGAACGAACTCGTACTGCTTTCGAGAAATTTGAAGCGTTTGGGATGGTCGTCGCGGTTTAATTGAGTATTTACTGTTTAGATTTGAATTTTCTCGAACATGTTTTGTTTGCCTCTGTGTTGTGTTCGTCGTCCTGACGGATATTGTGTGAGGATCGAGATTTTTTGGCGTATTTTCCGCGAGATCATGTCGGTGTTACTGATTTTGTTCATGTACCAAGTAGCTTGTATCCGTTTCTGCGAAAAGAATGTTGAAATCGCTTATGCCTATCCACCATATTATATCCATTTGTACTCTTGAGATTGATGCAATTTCCAAAATGGTTTTTCTGTTTCTGCTCATGGGTTATCAAGTATATAATGTGCTTAAGAGATAAAAAATATAAATCAACTGCGATTCAGATATATTATAGAAAGTAGAAACAATCTGTCACTGCTTTGTCACTGATCTGGCAAGCTATGGCTATGTAGCATGACATACAGACACTTATGTATCAATAAACATTGATGTGAAGTAGTGAATGAGTTGATTTTTTATGTTGACCTACGTATAAGTGTTTTCTTCAGTGTTCATTGAGCGTTTGACATGTCAAGACACTGTTGGACAACCAGCATGAAATCCCCAGACCAAGAACCCTATATCGGTTGGAAAGAATTGGTGCATGATGAAAGAAATTTAAATGGCATTTAAGAATACTGTTTGATGGGCTTGAGTTAACAAAGATGCCTTGCACAATAATTATATTTCCCCTCTTAGAATGGAGGGGAATAAAAGTAAGGAGAAACAAGTTTGCTAGTTTCAATATCAGTCGATGAAGTTAAAAACTCTGGTTCTTTTTCCTTTTGATACTTTTGTGTATTAGACTTGGTGATGGTCAGATTAGTCAATTTCTAGTAAATGAATTAGAATAATCCATTTTTAGTCAGCATTTTCTTGAACTTTAAAAAAAGATTTGCATTTATGACTTCAAAATGCTACTAAATACTTTTGCTTGTAGTTTTTATTCGGCCTAGCCTTTCCATCCACATATCCTTTCATTTTGGTTGGACATATATGGAGATTCCATAAACTTTCATGAGCTAATTTCGTGGCTAAGAGCATGTGGCACATATGCATATATCTGTTTCTGCTTTAGCTTTCCATGGTACATGCAATAATTACTCCACAAAAAGAGCAGGAATTTTTGTTGTTGCTGTTTTGTTTTTGTTTTTTTTATGGGCCGATTTGGCTCAGCGGTAAGCTCACTTGCTGTGGGGTATGAGGTCGCGGGTTCGAATCAGCCTCACTGCATAAAAAGCAGGGGTAAAGCTGTCTAGTATGTTCCCTTCCCCATCATTCCGACTCGAACTGGGTTGGTTCTTTTATTTCTTTTTTTCTTTTGATATTGCCTTTTGTAAACTATGTCATATACCTTCCTAGAATCTTATGTTATGTTATGGCTGTATTAATATAATGTCCAAACTTGACATCGGTGAGGCACCAGCCGTGTTATGCTGAGGGGAGCATATGCAGAGTTGAGACTATATAAAAATGAACCTAATTTGTGTTGAAGGAAGTGTTAGGATTTTAGTTGGACAGAACTGTAAAAGCTAAACAGCAGCATCATTTTCAGATCATGAGTCGTACAAGTCCGTAGCATTTAATTATGCTTTTATGTGATAAACAAGTACTTAGGCGTTTACTTGCTACACTTTATTTAAGCATTTATGTTATAACGGAGTATGTGTATCTATAGTGTATGTAACTCACCAGCAGGCATCTCTAGGCATCATCTTTAGGGATTTTCTCCTTAAGTGTATCGATGAATCTTTGCTGTGTAAAATTGTTGCTTGAGATATAGTTAAGGAAGTCGTTGAAGCTGAATTCTCCATAGGCAGCTGGGTTTTTTTCATTTACGAGCTTAGGTGATGGCTTTATTTTCCTATGCAGTGGCAGACTGTGAAGACTTGCAAAAGAGAGTCGCTTGACATCTCTGCTCAGTGTGACACGGTGAATTATACTCTTGTATATGCCATTGCTCATCACTTCTATCTGATCTCCCAACTGAACTATTAGAGCTCCTTCAATATATGGAACACAGATCCAGTTATTGTTGTGATCCATTACCTGGAGCCCCTGGCCACTCTGGAGTAATATGGTGAGTGCGCCGTAATCTGAGTGTGGTGGCATTCCCAAGGTAATTTCTGGTTCGGGACATGCTGGATAGCAATTCACAGCTATGACTTGTGAGCCGTCTTCAATCTCTTCTTGTAAGTAATTTTTCTCCAGGCCTAGGCTTTCCATTATAATTTCGATCAGTTGCTTATGTAGCACTTGTGTTGCCTCTGCATACTTCCCCATATTTTCCCTAACAAGCAGGAATATTTCAGAGAATCTCATAAGTTATGACTAGTATTTGTTTGACAACATCTACTGTAGTTTTCGGAATCTCCTTGGAACACTCAGATTCTATAAAAAAAAATTCCTTGAAAGCCTCGAGGAAATAAAGATTCTTAGATTTGGATAATGAAGCTGGCCTAAATTAGGGTTACTTACTTGTAGCATGGAGGATTTGATGGCCATAAATCAATCCACTTTGAGAGTGGGTGGGAGTAATGTTTGATGAAATCTCTCCAATAGTGAACTTTGTCTGTTGTATGGTTTAGGCTGGTGCCATACCGTACTGGTTTATGAACATCATCAGACACCAGAAGCATCTTTTCCTCCATAGGCAAGTCAAAGAACTGTGTTGCAGCATCTAGGGCACCTTTCACTACTGATGACGGTATTTCATGGTTTATAACCTGCAGAGAAGTAAGTTTGGAATCTGTAGGGAGAAGGATACATATGATACGTAATGCTGGTGATTTGTTTTCGGTAAACCACGATGCATGCAAAATGCATGGAGAATGAAGAAAAAATAGCTTCATATTTCGGCTACAAGCCGACATGGGTTGCAACTTGTCTTTTTGATTTAAGCTTAGTTAGTCCTAGACGAAGGACTTTGTTCCTTATGATATAAATGCAAGACGACAATAACTGCCTTTCCGATGATGTCTCATATCGTGATATTATTGTTAGACGCTATACGCGAACCTAGTACTGATTGTTTAATGACCCAAGGGAGACTGATAGACGAGAATATATATGGAATAAGTTTATAGTACATGAAGAACACGAATAGTACGTTTAAGCACCAAACTTCCTTTCTTTTGGAATGTCATGATGCATGAGTCTTGAGTTATATGAGTTTTGCATGTTTTATCTACCCGTAAGGGAAAAGATATAAGTAATACCTGAAAGAAACCATATTCCTTGCAGGCCATACGTATCTCGTGGATTGTCTGTGATCTATGGGAAGGTTGGTCCAAGAGGGAAAGATCAATGACAGGAAGGGCGGTGTTGATGTTTGGACGAAGAAGGGCTGGTCGTTGTGAGGGCGGGAGAACGTAACGGGAAGGCACCCGAGCAGCCCCTGACTCGGTAAGTGTCATGGCACTGGTGAAGGAATCATGCATGCTTTTGTTCATTTCTTCCATTCTCGCAAAGAAAGATCCTATTAGTTTTTTTGTGTGGTCGTTGTTTCCTGAATCAGCTGATAGGCGGCATGCATATATTTATACATGCATTTTGCTGATTCCAAAGAAGATAGTTTCCATTTTTCTAACTTTCTTGTTTTGCTTGGTCATGGTTTTTGGAAACATCTCCATTAAGTGTTGGGAGAAATGGCTCTTCGATTAAAAAAACAAGATAGAGAGGTGGCCCTTTGTTATTACGTATCGGGGAAGAGAGGATGGCTAGTTGCACCTTTTGCTACTCGGACTAATGATCTGCGGAGATGGTGGTAAGCTGAGTTCAGGTAAGCTCAACGGTTTTTATCCCTTGGAATAGTGGGCACCTTCTTCTTTTAACTCAGGAGATACTGAGGACAGGATACTAAGCTTCTTTTCTGTGTACGCCGTTCATGAGGTAGAAATTATCATCGTCATCATTATTATTCTATTATTCTTTTGTTTAAACACGGAGGACAGACGATTCCAAAATATTTCAGAGGTACGTCATTCGTAAGGTTGAAATTTAGGTCGAGGTTCACTGGAAGAAATAAATACGCGACCGTTTGCTTTTTTTTATTTATTATTATTATATTAAAAACTAGATAACTATTAGATGGTTTATTGGGTTTTTATTTTTTGGCCGATAAGTTTATTGAGTTTTTTTTTTTGGGAGGTATCTGCATGCAAAGGCGCATCTGTATACCAAGAAAAAAGCTAAGTTTTGTATTTTTTTTCCTCCTTAAAACAGAGGTAGGGGTGGTGTTTCTCTGAGAGGGTCCTTCTCGTGGGTTAGCAAGTGTTTGACCACTTGACCTATGAGTCTATGACAGTTGCCACTTGCCACCTCTTGCCTTTTTACTTCTCTGTGGTACCAAAGCCCGGGTTTTGTTTTTTTTGGGCTGTCGAATGGCCGAGACACGTTTGATGGGCTTGGGGTTGGTCTTGGTTTTCGGCTTCGGCTTTTGACTGAAGCCCATATTGGCAGAGTTCGTGTATTGGTGTTTCTAGTTTATCGTATCCATGAAGAAGAAGAAAAAAGAAGAAAATCATTCTCTCTCAATTTTCAGAAATGCTTTTGTCTGGTTTATGTTTTTTGTTTTTGGTAAAGTTTGTCCAGTGGGTTTGAACTCGTGTGAAGGGATATTGTACATTTTCACCTTATAATTCTGTCATTCCACACACTGGGTATGGTTTATGTTCTTTGTCTTTGTCCAGGAAAACTTACGGTGCCTCATCGGAATATTGCAAGGTACTTTCTTTGTCATCGTAATTTTGCGTCCATTTTACTTTTATCCCAGATGATTTATGTGAAATTGTGAATTAAGATGATTATCTACCAAAGTCCGTTGTGAATTATGATATACATATATATATAGATATATATAAAGAATGAAATCGTTGAAAAAACGAATGTTGAAATTGTCACTGGCCAGAAAAAAAATGGTCAGTTATCATAAAATAACTGATCGTATATGTTAATGCGGTCTCGGTAGGAACTAGGAAGTCGATGATGTCAGAAACATAATTAGCTACTGATCCTAGCGTTATCGTTCGATATGGATTATGATTATTAATATGGTTATTATTATTATTATTATTATTTAATAGTGGTTGGGAAGGGGAACTAATCAAAGCTGTACTTTTTTATAAAAAAAAATAAGAATATTGAAAAGGCAAGTATCACCTAAACACAGCGATTATTGAATAAGCTTGAACGTGGGAAGCAGGTTGCTTCGACCCGTTTTATCCGTTAAGACGTCCGAGTTTCGAATATTTGACTACCACATAGCTTCTGTCCAGATAGTTACTGTCATGTCGTCGCATCTTGATCACTTGACGATGTTCATTCATATAAATCTCATTAAAACCATATCTTATTTAGGATCCCACACACTAAACAATATGCATTTTTTTTTATAATAAAGATCAAGTGGAGAAACAAGTTCAATTACAAAATTCTATTACAAGTTGAAACAACACGAGTAAAAAATTTCGTGTCTTTGCACAAGTAATTAAGAAAAAATCTGTCATTTTAGACATGATTTATATTTATATATATTCTCTGCGGAAATATCCCGAAAATTATTTCGAAAACGTTTGCATGTATGGTCGTGGAGACGATGAGAATTAGACAACGAACCAACACCAAAAGGAAGACCTTATCAACAACGTTTTTGTACCCTTTGATTGACTTTCCCCGTCTTTTCTTTTGTATGCATTGTTAATTTGAACGAGTTCTATTTATTATGTTGGTAATTGCTTCAATTCTACGGATACCGTAGAATCTCCAAGTTCTAACCCTTTTTTTTTTTTGTTGCTAAATGAACCCAAAATGAACTTGTACCAATGTTATTTTTCCCTTCATGTTTATCTAAATAATAAAATATCGTTAAAAGTGCCATCGTTATTATGGGTCTGCTCATGTACAAACACGCCAAGGCATTGGAGTGAATGACAAATACGAGACAAAGCCTTCGACCGATTGATGAAATATTCTAACTTTCATCGTTTGAATATAAAAAAGATGAGAGTTGGTAAGCATCATCATGTGGCATAAATTATACTACAAAAATAAATACACAGTTGGAGAAACGGCGAGACTTTTTCATTCTTCCTTTTTTTTTTTGTTAAATTCCTCGAGATCCCTCAAATGCTCTGTGCGTATAAATAACATTTCACCGTTTGCCCTCTTCTTCGCCTCCTCTCTCTCTCTCTCTCTGTTCAGTAACTTGCAACACAAGGTTCCATCATCCATGGCAAAAGCAGCCATCTCAAATATGGCCGGAGCGGCTGCCATCCTCCTCGTCCTGGTGACGGTTCCGGCCACCATGGCAGAGACATACCTGGTCGGCGATAGTTCTGGATGGATCCAAGGTTTTGATTATACAGCTTGGACTAGAGGAAAGACTTTCAAAGTTGGCGACGTTCTTGGTAGTTATATTTAGCCCTCGTTTCTATATTATCTATTCCTTTTTTGTACATCATCTCGTCAATAAGTTACTCGTTCTCAACATTGAAAATGTTTTTTTTATTTGTTGTTGTGAAATTGATGCGAAAAAAGAATTCAAGTACCGGTCGTCGCATACGGTGGATGTGGTGAACAAAGACAGCTACGACAACTGCGACACGAGCAATCTCTTAGAGAAATTCTCTGGCGGAGACACCAAGTATACACTGAACGCGACCGGAGCTATCTACTTCATCTGTGCGACACCTGGCCACTGTCAAGCTGGCATGAAGCTCGCCGTCAACGTCCAACCCTCCGCCGGTCCTCCTACCGGAAGTCCGTCTCCGCCGGCGTCGCCCAGGTCACCGTCGGCACCGAGTGCGGCGGCTCGGGGAGTCATGGGCTATGCCATGATGGGTGCTTCGATGGCGTTGGGCTATGGGGCTTGGATCATGGGCTAGGCTGGAGGCAGTGCTTCGCTGTTGGGTTTTTGTTGTGTGTGAATGTGTGTTTTGAGAGAAGGGGTGCGCCACGTCAGCTCCTCTTAGGGTTTTATTTATTTTTATTTTGTAATTTTAGTGTTATGATTTCCATCATGACCTGTTCTCGCGGAATAAAAAATGGTACTTGATTTTCTATTCTTTTATTCACTTTGTTTTTTTTTTTTTACTTTTTTACAGTCAGTGATCGCTCGCATCATAGAGATAAATTTTTATAAGGCCGTATCGATTACGACATCAAGGCCCTTGAAAAAGGGGCACCGAGAAGATATTTCGGGGCTTTCTGAAAAAGGCCTTCGCTAATGAAGTGTTTGTTGAAGATGAGCCCACTGGGCCCATGGTTAAAATGATGTTGGGCCGGTGATGCATAGAGTTTGAATGATTAAATCGAATCGTGCAAATAAAAAATATTTTATTTTAATTTTTACCTGATTTATATATAGGGTTATGAGTTACGTTTTTTCTTTTACCGTGTCAGTTTGTGAAATTTGAAGAATTAAATTGTAGTTTATATTGTTTTGTTGCGAAATTAATTTGGCCGCAGCTAACCACTGTGGATATTATTTATTGTGATGGTTTAATTACTTGTAAAGCCTAAACAAGAGACGTTCGATGTGTTTGTTGGGATTTGACCGGGGATGCCACTCAAATCTGTCAGAATAAAATAGAAAAATTCTTCTAATAATCAAAAATCAAAGTTGTTATATATATCTATATAATTTGATTTGTATCTAAAAAAGTACCTAGGGTTTTGAATATTTAGTACCGATATAACGTTCACGTGGTTTTTGGAGATATATGTACACACCACTTTGCCATAATGGAATTTTAATGGAATGTTTTAAATAAACATCCATCTTTATTAACTCTTACCAACATTAATGGAATGAATTGAACAATCTTCCACCCTCGTACACGTTTTACGGGCTCTGTTAATTTGATTATAAAAGTCACTCTACGGAAATGCATTCCAAGCATAGTCAAAATGAGAATCATTATAATTTTAATGCTGCTAAGAAAGAACAATTCCACATGGTGCTACACTGAACACCAACCAAGTCACATTCCCAACTTCAAAGGTCCTAATCTCGATAAACAACAACACCGGTAAATGTTTTAAAATAATTGTTGTTTTGGATTATTTCACATTTTTTTTAAAAAAAAGAGAAAAAATCGTATATATCCTATTTAATGATAAAACAATGTTATCTTTATTGGAATTTAATAGGGATAAAATTGGAAACTATTGTAAAACATATCTTGAAAATGTAGAATGATAAATATTTTGAAACATGGAAAATAACTTAAAACTACAAATATTTTGAAACGGAGAGAGTACATTACAGTTTGATTTTAATTATTTAATATATATTTTTTGTGTGTGCAGAAAAAAAATCACTTAAAGGTATTATTCTGGCATGAAGAAACCACGTAAGGGACCGAAGCGAAAGCATTATCCTGGCTCTGGCTTCACAGTACTGCCATTTGGCGAGCACGGCGTCACAATGCCGTTTGACGCCCCACATTCTCCCCCAATTAACCACACAAACTCTAACCACACCAGTGGTGGTGGCAGCGTTGGACATTTCCACACCGCACTATCGATCATCTATTTACACAAAAATAATAAAATAGAATTTGAAGTATGTGTTTTTATGTATAATTATGGTTTGTATTAAGTGTTGTATTGTCTATGTGACCCTTGGACGCATGGGTTATCAAATAAAGGTTGTGAGTGCCGTGTAAAATTATTCTTAATGGTAAAAGTTAAAAGTTTGTAAGTATATATTAATATAAGATTCTAATTTCGAATAATTATAATATAATTGATGCAAATTTCGTACATTACTAGTACATTAATTATATTATACAAAATAGAAGTTTAGTATAACAACTTATATATATATATATATATATATATATATATATATAATCAGTAATATTTATGAGAAAGAAAAATCTTAACTATCTTATATATTAATATAAGATTCTAGTTTCATATAATTATAATGTAATTGATGCAAAATCCGTACATTACTAGTACATTAATTATATTATACAAAATTAGATCCTTTCACTCCTATAGGTGACCATATCGCCCCCGAGTCTTCGCCTGTTCAGAAAGTTTATAAATGGCTTTATCTGCTTATCCTGCTCATACCACTCGTCGGCGGTGTCATCGGCCTGATACGTTACTGCCGTAATCGGTCGTTACAGTAACGTGTTGTCTGTTGTTTTTTATAAAGTGTTGTCTGTTGGTTTTTATGAACTAATCGTGTGGGTTCTGTAAGTGGTCTTAGCTATGTTTTTATCTATGTAAGTTTTAATGCTTTAACTTAATGAAAAAGTTTCCTAGTTCGGCTACAAGCTGATATGAGTTGCAACCCGTCTTTTGATTAAACCTGAGTAGTTGATCTTTGTTCCTTATGACATAAATGCAAGAAGACAATAACTGCCTTTCTGATGCTACCGACGAATCAAGTTTGGAGATTTTTATGAATATTAATCTATTTAAATATAATTATTTGTTAAAAGATAGAGAAGGAACAACAATTTTTTAGATTATAAAATTTAACATGAATTATACTGAAAGGGAGATAGAACTATTTTAATATATTTCTATCGCACGATTTAGAACATTTCTAACAAAAATGGTAATGATAATGATGTGTAAGAAATTTGAGCACATTAGGTTGATTTTATTAATCATACAAGTGATTGCGTAAAATCGATAATGGTTTTGATACATTGCAACTAATGCCATATATCAAAATAGAAAAATTCTTCGAATAATCAAAAATCAAAGTTGTTATATATATCTATATAATTTGATTTGTATCTAAAAAAGTACCTAGGGTTTTGAATATTTAGTACCGATATAACGTTCACGTGGTTTTTGGAGATATATGTACACACCACTTTGCCATAATGGAATTTTAATGGAATGTTTTAAATAAACATCCATCTTTATTAACTCTTACCAACATTAATGGAATGAATTGAACAATCTTCCACCCTCGTACACGTTTTACGGGCTCTGTTAATTTGATTATAAAAGTCACTCTACGGAAATGCATTCCAAGCATAGTCAAAATGAGAATCATTATAATTTTAATGTTGTTGACCATGGTCATCACATTCCCAACTTCAAAGGCCCTAATCTCGATAAACAACAACACCGGTAAATGTTTTAAAATAATTGTTGTTTTGGATTATTTCACATTTTTTTAAGAAAAAAGAGAAAAAATCGTATATATCCTATTTAATGATAAAAACAATGTTATCTTTATTGGAATTTAATAGGGATAAAATTGGAAACTATTGTAAAACATATCTTGAAAATGTAGAATGATAAATATTTTGAAACATGGAAAATAACTTAAAACTACAAATATTTTGAAACGGAGAGAGCACATTACAGTTTGATTTTAATTATTTAATATATATTTTTTTTTGTGCAGAAAAAAATCACTTAAAGGTATTATTCTGGCATGAAGAAACCACGTAAGGGACCGAAGCGAAAGCATTATCCTGGCTCTGGCTTCACAGTACTGTCATTTGGCGAGCACGGCGTCACAATGCCGTTTGACGCCCCACATTCTCCCCCAATTAACCACACAAACTCTAACCACACCAGTGGTGGTGGCAGCGTTGGACATTTCCACACCGCACTATCGATCATCTATTTACACAAAAATAATAAAATAGAATTTCAAGTATGTGTTTTTATGTATAATTATGGTTTGTATTAAGTGTTGTATTGTCTATGTGACCCTTGGACGCATGGGTTATCAAATAAAGGCTGTGAGTGCCGTGTAAAATTATTCGTAATGGTAAAAGTTAAAAGTTTGTAAGTATATATTAATATAAGATTCTAATTTCGTATAATTATAATATAATTGATGCAAATTTCGTACATTACTAGTACATTAATTATATTATACAAAATAGAAGTTTAGTATAACAACTTTTATATATATATATATATCAGTAATATTTATGAGAAAGAAAAATCTTAACTATCTTATATATTAATATAAGATTCTAGTTTCATATGATTATAATGTAATTGATGCAAAATCCGTACATTACTAGTACATTAATTATATTATACAAAATTAGATGATATATATATTATGTGTTTATTGGTGTGTATATAATCAATAATATTTCTGATACAGAAAACCCTAATTATCTTATATGGTTATCATATCAACACGTTCATACGGAATTAAATTTGTCACGGGTGATTTACTATTCCAAATTTTAATAGAATGTTTTGGATAACTTTTCGTCCTCATCAACTGTTGCCAACATTAATGGAATGTCTCGGATAATCTTCCATCCTCGGGCGAGAACAAATGTTTTCACGCGTCTGTTCAATTTGATTATAAAAATGATCCTATGCAAGCCTAACGCATTCTAACCAAAGTAAAAAAAAATGAAGTTCATTACCATAGGATTAATGCTTTTCATTGTGGTTGCTCTGTCCGATTCCAATGTCAGACGCAAATAACAACAGCAGCACGGTCTTGGTCGCGTGTTACCATGGCAACGCCACCTCAACCATAGGTAAATGTTTTATTTTAATACATATTTAAATTTTTATCATTTAGTATTGTTCTATTTTTTTTTTAATAGAAATTTCAAAGCTTTCTGGCCGTAAGAAAGCACCCAAGAAATCAAAACCCAAGCGCTCTCCTGGCTTGGGCTTTACACTGCCAGATCCATTTGGCGGTCATGGAGAAAATGGTGGCCCAGAATTCACTCCGCCGCCTCCGATGAACCACACCAGCGGTGGCAACACCGTTGGACAATTTCAGGCGGCGACTGTTTCTGTTGTATATTTGATTATGTTTGCGTAATTTACTATAGCATATAATTTCCATTTTCCACTATGTATTACGTCCGTGTTGCATGTGTATGCAATACTTTTACTACGTGTTGTAATTGCGTTGTCTACCTAATGTGTTATAATAAAATGGATTCGGGTTTAATTATTATATAAATTTAATACAAAAAGTCAATGTTGTGATTTAAAATAGAACAAACGCTAAGAAATTCTAATATAACCAGCAATCTTGAATGAAAATAAATAATAAAAAAATTCTGTATTCCAAAGATAAAATTTTGGTATTTCAATAAATATATGCATGTTATAAATGTTTTGGTGAAAATAATACAATTTCAATCTTTTATATATCTCTAAACACTGGATTGACACGTGTCCCATGTTTTTATTTATATAAGTTTAATACAAAAAGTCAATGTTGGGAGTTAAAATAGAAAAAACGTAAGAAATTCTAATATAATCAGCAATCTTGAATGAAAATAAATAACAAAAAAAAATTCCGTATTCCAAAAAGATAAAATTTTTGTATTCCAATAAATATATGCATGTTATAAATATTTTGGTGAAAATAATACAATTTCAATTAAAAAATTAGATTAATATTGACATTGTTTTGTCAAATTAAAAAATATATGCATGTTATTATATATATATATATAAAAGAGAACCTCATGATATTGTTAATTTTTTAAATTAAAATTGAAGATACATATATTAATCATTTTATTGTAGTTACACCACTTTTTACCAATTTTATATATACAAATTTTCTAAGAAATTGACACGTGTCTAATTTATTTGAAAAATAAATTATTCTTTAATGGAAAAAATAAAATCATACTTATTTAATATATGTATTATTATATATTAAGATACAATTTGTTGTTGCCTTTAATGGTATATAATTTAAGATTCCCTGTCAGAATTGTTCTTGGGACCAAAATTATAATTTAAGTACAGTTTGTGTAGGAGGGTGTGACACGTGTTTTTTTTTTTAAAGAATATGGAAGGTTTTTATTATGTAATTTTCAAGAGTCAATTCTCATTTAAAAGAAGGAATATACATTGCAATTAGTTTAATTATAGTACATTAGTCACAAAATCCAAGGAGGCAAGTTGGTGTTGTTGTGTCTATATATTTTTATTGATGTTCTCAAAGACCATTCGTATATCTTCTTTTTGTTTTTTTTTATTTAAAACTATTTATTTATAATAACTAAATACATTACGTACGAAAGATTTATATATACAATAATTATATCTTTATATATAAAAGGTATAGTACAGTACTTAAGACACGTGACATTTTTAATTTTTTAAATTAGTTTAAATTTTATTAATTAAATCCAAGTCAATATTGATTTGAACAATACTCCATTAATTTTCTATACGTTAATTCTCTCTGTACATCCATCGAAGTTAGATTCAATTGATTTTAATTAGATTTAAATAGTTTTAATCAAATTCTATTAGTATGACCATTTATTATTATCTTTAAATTAAATGTATTTTTTTAAAAAATTGACTATAAATTGGTTAGTGTTTGCACGCCAAACACTTATTATTTGCTTATAACTTTTTTTTTTGTAAAAATATTTGCTTATAACTTTGCTGGTTGTGTTTTTTGTTTTTGATGTAATTTGGTTTTGTTGGTAATGTTTTTTTTGATGAAATGTGATTGAATTAATACCAAAGAAAACAAATGTCATAATATTTACAAACTAGAGATAGCTCTAAACAGATCTCCCATAACCAGATGGGGAAAATTACATGTTCTTACATGAAGTAATACGATACCACTGCTGTAATAATTTGTTTTCTGTCGCGTCCGGATTATGGAGAGAGATTAGTTTGTTCCTCATGGTCCGATCAACCTTGAATCTTGCTTGATGGATAGTAAGGTGTCGGTCTCTATGAATGCGAGAATTTCTTTCCATCCAAATGGTGTATGTGATAACCTGCGTGAGTAACTTCTTAATCGTAGCTTCGTCACGGTTCGTAGATTGGTTGGTCCAATCCAGAAAGTGTCGGATATGTGTCGGAGGGGGGTCCATTAGCCGTCCAAAGTGCAACCAAATCGAGCGACTAAATCTGCAACAAAAGAACAGGTGGGGAAGTGATTCCAAATCGGCGCAACATAGAATGCACCGATTCGGAGCTTGGATTCCCCACGTCTCGAGTCGGTCGGTAGTCGGGAGACGTTCTTGGAGCACCTGCCACCGTTTTGTTGGTAATGTTACTCAGAAAACAACAGTCTAGACATGCGAATCCGACCTGTCCAAGATACAGAAGAGATTAGTGTGTCTCAGATTTGGGTTTCAGATGGTGTTTTTGGCTTTGATATGGATACTTTGGAAGCTGGTTGGATGGTATATTATTCCCTTTTAACTCATTTCCCTTTTTTTACCTTTATGAATGTGAATGTATTTACTTCTTATTGTAAACTTAGATAATTTCTTCTTATAATGATAGGTTTACCAAGATTACTACCCGAGATTATTCACCTTTTGGACCGTAAGTTTAGTTCCTCGATTTTGGTCTTGGTCTAATTTTCCCATGTTGCTCTTTTGCGAGAGTTTCTTTGTATTTGATCGTAGAATTCAAATTAATTAACATGTTTTGAATCAAAATAGAGGGATTCGTACAAAGACACAGGCTGCTATAATCATGACTGTCCAGGCTTTGTTCAGATCAACCATGCAATTGCCCTTGATGCATCAATCAAGCCCATATCGACCTATGGTGGTTCGCAATATGAAATCACATTGCTTGTTGTCAGGGTAAAGTATATATACAAAACTATTTATATTCCTTGTTGTTTTAATAATATTTTTGGTTGATCAAAATCATCTTTTGATATTAGGATCCCAAAACAAGAAACTGGTGGTTAGGGTATGGAAAAACCATCATAGGATCGATACTGGCCGGGATCTATAGTCCCAAAGCTAAAAAATGGTGCAACGGATATTACTTGGGGAGGCGAAATCGTAAACCTAAAAAAGAATGGAAAACACAATACTATAGAAATGGGGAGTGGACACTTTGCAGATGAAAAGTTTGGAAAGGCGAGTTATTTCGGAAACTTAGGTATTATCGATACATCGAATGTTCTGAGAGATCCAAAAAGGCTTTATGTCATAATTTGAAGATTTGGTTAAGTAAAACTTGGGGAACCTACTTTTACTATGGAGGTCCTGGTCGAAACCCTAGATGCCCATAAAACCATTCATTTGGTATGACAACTTGTTGTTAGAAGTGTCGAGGTTATATCAACTTATGTGTCATATATATATATATATATAATGATAATAAAGTGATAATTAAATGCATATACAAAAAAGGCTCAATAAAGACGTGATTGCTTTGTAATTAATTGAAGAAAATATAGTATTTGCAATTGCAAGATACATTTTTTAATAATGCGCATTAAATTGAATGAATTGTATACATGAATGATGAATCCATTGATTCATGATTATATTTTCCAATGAATCACACAAAAAAGCGATTTTTTTTTTAATTTCCATCCTATTTTTTTTTCTCAACATGTAGGAACAAATTAACAATGTAGACCGCGGTGATATTTGTACAAAGAAGTTTGTGAAGCCAATCAAACGAAATACATAAGGAACCTGCAAATATATTAAAACATACAAAACCAATCACATTAATTTTATTATTCGGTGGACCATATGAAGATAACCAAAATAAAATAACTAATATTGGCTAGATGACGTAAACATGTTCATCTAGATAAAGACACACAACACCAACCAAGATAATATATATTAGTCGCCTTGGCGATAACTATATCTACCAACTAGTACATGGTATATATATATATAGATATCATGGAAACCGCCGGGTTATATAGTTGTAAACCGATATATAGTGATCGCTGATATATATATATATATATATACACACATACAGCCTCGCTAGTCAGGCGTATTTTGTGTGCAGTGTGTTTATTTTGTCTTTTCTTTCAAGAAAAATACAACAAGACGAACAAAACACAACTTGGGAAGATGGACGGTGTAGTAGCAGTAGCAGGACCCACCACTAACCACGGGATGGAATCAAAGAGACCCATTGAATATTCCTGTATTTGATAGCCACACTTCGGCACATATATTATTTAGATAATTGGTCCGTCTTGGACTTTCTTTTGCATAGAAACAAAATAAAAAAAAATATAAATATTTTTTAAAAAAAAGTGCGGGAGGTGGGGAGCACATGGGGTTTGGGTACCAAAAAAAGATACGAGAAGCAAGACATGTTGGGGAGTTATTTGTCGTTGATGGCGATGATCCCTATATAGTATATGACCAATTTAAAATGATAAAAAAAATTTTAAATAAATACATGCCTCATGAATCGGACATACTTTGCTTCTTCGACCACTCCATTCCAACACGCTAACCTCACATTTTTTTTTTTCCAATTCGATTAATTCCATTAATTATATTTAAAATTATAACAATGTCATTGGGGTTTTTTTTTGTCGTGCGTCCTCTTTGAGATTAGATTTTGTTTATTAATTATTTACACAAAAAAATGATTATTCTGATTTCAATATATAGTGAATTTTCTTGATCACGTGATTAGCAAACGCATGCGTTTGCAAGAACCTTCTGTATCAGTCCATGACCATAATGAATTCTTTAATTTAATTTCTTTTTTTCCCCCCACATGTAGTAGCATCTCGGTTTCCCCTCGTCCAAATCGGGCCGCATTAAAAAAAGTAGTAATATATTATATTTAATTTAATTAACGGATTGTTATCATTTTGTTTCTAGTGATACTCGGAGCCTATGCTGTTCAGATGACTAAGCCTAATCGTAGCTTTAATAAATTCTCAAATATAATAATCTCTACGTTATCCCAACTCAGAGAGAAAAAACATCAATTTCCCTGTTTTGAATTTGTACAATCTATTAATTAATTATTTAATTGTTTTAGATTTAATTTTTTATTTGGGTTGATTCCACCGACGAAAAACGCACACAAGGGCAGTGGGCACTGTCCTAATCTCAGAACTGAAATAAATACCTACCCAATCTAACGATCAATCTTAGAACTCCTCATTTCTTATTACACAACACACCCACGAAAAAAATGGCGGAACTGGAGAACCCAGAGGTGATGGAGAAGCTAATAGCTTTCCTGTCGTCGATGCTGGAAGGAGTGGCGGAGGAGAACGATCGGAGCCGTCCGGTCGAGCAGAAGACGACGTCAGCATTCGACGGGATCGCTCGGCCCGCGATCTCAATCCGCGGATACTTGAACAGAATCTTCAAGTACTCGAAGTGCAGCCCTTCTTGCGTGGTCGTGGCTTACGTATATATAGACCGATTCGCTCAGCTTCACCCTTCTGTCCCCATCACTTCTTTCAACGTTCACCGTCTCCTCATCACCAGCTTCATGGTCTCCGCCAAGTTTTTCGACGACATGTGAGCGCCCCCCCCCCCTCCCCTCTTTTATTTGTGGTTTCAAATGAGGTATATAATGGGTTTAAGGTTTAGGGTTTGCTATCTTCAGACAAGACATCTGACTTTTGAACAGCTCGTACGATGATGATAGAGTCTTTGGGTTACTCTTGTTTTGATCGATCTTCCAAGAAAAACCAAGATTCGCCTTCTCTCTGGTTTTCTTGAAACTCAAGAACGGAGCAAGCAACTTTGAAATTCAAGAAAGCGACTCTTCGCATGCTTTTTGTTTTTTTTTTGGGAAAAATACAAAAAAAAACACCAACTTTTCAATTTTTCCAAAAAAATCTGAACTTCATATTTAGCAAATAAAACCAGAACTTTTTTTGAATAGAAAAACCCCAAATATAAATTTGTTATTTCTAAACCCAACGTGACATCCCAATATCACGTGTGGCAATTTCATAATTTAATCGATTCCTCGACGTTATTATTTAGGTTTTATTTGAAAAAAATAAAAAAGTTCAGGTATTTTATCTTTTGTTTTATTACATCATTATATGCCTTCTGCTATGTCCTTAGATACTACAGTAATGCGTACTACGCTAAAATCGGAGGGATCACCACGGCTGAGATTAACACACTGGAGCTGGATTTCTTATTCGGGTTAAGGTTCCGCTTAAACTTGAAGCCAAACACGTTCCATGCCTACCTGTCGTACCTGCACAAGGAGATGATGCTTCTTCAGGCGGCCCCCATCGCCGTCGGACGACCTCTCATTGCTCCCAACGATGGTGAATCTTCTCACCAGACACAGCAGCTCGCTGTTTGACTTCACCAATATATATATGTGTGCGGTACGTATATATATATATATATATATATATATGCGTAGACGTGGATTTGGTTCAGTCAATGTTGGTTTTTGTATTTAGTACACATGGGACTCTTTTGTCATGTCACATCATATATTATCTTATGTAATAAATTGGATGCTATACATTAGATGTCGTCCAATTCCTCCTTTCTTTTCCTTCTCTTTTACTAACAGGAGAGATGTGTGGGGAGGAATTATAAATATATATATATAAGATATAAAAGATATTCTTGTTATGATACACAGCTAATTTATCCTATATATATACATATATATGTATATATAAAATTGGTGAACAATTTACGGTGTGTAGCGAGAGAAACGTGGTTGATAACAATAAAATGGGATTGACAGTTGTGTGGAGCACGTGGAGATTAGATATCTTCCATTCACAACTTTGTAATAATAAATATATATTTGGCACTTGGCTTATGGAAGACGTCGTATATCCAAATTGAGGAAAGAATACAAGAATCCAATTGTACGGTCGTGTTTGGCAGTTGAGATTCCAAGTGAATCGCAGAGAGCTTTTCCACTCGTAACTAATGGGCCAGGCCCATCAATTTCTGTCACCCACAGCGTGCACTATCGGCCATTTGCAGGCCCAATATTGATCTCCAAACATGGGCTTGGTCTACCAATTAATGGGCCTATGCAGCAACGCATTAATTGTAACAAGGATATAACTTTACAACGAGTTCTGATTCAAAGGTTTAGCCATGTAATATTTATCCGGAATGAGGCCCATCATGTGTAGGCCCAATGATAGTCCAATGGGCTTTATTTCAATAAAATTAAATTTTAATTGGGAAAATAGGAAATAATTAAAACAGTGCAAGGGGCGCAGAACAAACAGCTGCAAGAGGACGAGGAGAAGAGCACAGTAAAGTCTCTCTCCCTCTCTCTCCCAGAAAAATATATAAAAGAACCCTAGTTTTCTCCGTCTCTCCTCTCCTATCGCCCACCGATTCATGCTCAGAAAGTCCGAGACTTTGAGAATCTAAGCTCTAAAGCTTCATCTCTTTCTTCCTGGGGAATCGAATTATGTACAAGGATCGAGGGGGAGGCGGAGGAGGAGGGTCGTCGAGATCGGAGATCCTCGGCGGAGCTCTTGATCGGAAGCGGATCAACGATGCTCTCGACAAGCACCTCGAGAAATCTTCACCATCCACATCTAGGGTTTTCGCCTCTAAAGATAAGGATCCTTTCTCATTCCCCTCCACTTCCGCTGCTAAATCTCAGCCGCCCATTCACCGCCATTCTCGCTCCCCCGATGGTTCGTTTGCTGACTCGCATACGTTCTTCTCATTCGGTAGTGGAATCTATGGTTTTGAAGTTCTGATTGTCTGGATTTGCAGTGGAATCGGAGACTGATAGCGAAGGATCGGATGTTAGCGGTTCCGAAGGAGATGATACATCGTGGATCTCTTGGTTCTGCAACTTGCGAGGGAATGAGTTTTTCTGTGAAGTTGATGAAGATTACATACAGGATGACTTCAATCTCTGTGGCTTGAGTAGCCAAGTTCCCTACTACGATTACGCGCTTGATCTCATACTGGATGTTGAATCATCCAACGGTACGTGAATGTCACTCTCTTGTTTCATAATGCAAGAACGATAGTTGTATAACTTCCATGGTAAGAGCAGTAATCTACTGCAGAGAGCATGCGAATGAGTTTAATCTAAGCTGAGACTGATCTGATGTTATGTATTGCGTTATTCTCAGGTGATATGTTCACCGAAGAACAGAATGAAATGGTGGAATCGGCTGCTGAGATGTTGTATGGTCTTATTCATGTCCGATACATTCTGACAACCAAGGGAATGGCTGCCATGGTCAGAAAGCAGCTTACTTTCTTTGTTCTTATTGCTCGTTTCGCGTTGTGTGGTTCTCTGTTAACTGTCTCTTTGATGATCTCCTCCAGTTAGAGAAGTATAAGAACTACGATTTCGGGAGATGCCCACGAGTTTACTGCTGCGGACAGTCTTGCCTTCCAGTCGGACAGTCTGACATCCCGAGGTCAAGCACCGTGAAAATATACTGCCCGAAATGTGAAGACATATACTACCCGCGTTCCAAGTACCAAGGCAGTATCCTTTTATCTGATCCTGGTTTCTCAGTATCTTGCATATTGATGTTTTCTCTCTTTATCTCGTCATCATAACACGATAAGCATTATCTCTAATCATATGCACTCTGCTCCTTCTCCACGGACCATTGGCTCATATTCACAGTTGCATATTGCATGTCACCTGCTAAGGAATAACATATCCATCTCTGCATAATATATTCTCTGCAAGACATTAACTGTTGACTCTGTTTCCTTGATTACTTTCTAGACATTGATGGAGCTTATTTTGGGACAACGTTTCCACACTTGTTCCTGATGACGTATGGGAACCTAAAGCCGCAAAAGCCATCACAGAGCTATGCCCCGAGAATTTTTGGCTTCAAGGTACACAAACCATGACACTGACGCAGCATGGTCATACATTACATGGCTCGACCTCTCTTCATAATAGGCCAACCACTGATGGAACACGCAACACTGTTCCATGGATGAGAGCTATGAAGATCCTGATGGAAGCTCGGAATTGCCCAGAAACTGGTTATCAAGAATATGCTGTATTATCCCTTTTGGGAATTTTAAATCATTGTTGGTATCGTGAATTTCCATTTGTTTGGATTTTGTTATTTTTTTTTACATCTGGCTTGTAATATCTGTGATCTCTCCCCAACAATTTTGCTTTGTATAATGTTGACAAGCTCCTTGGCGTTACCCAGAACGTAACAAGCGATGAATCGTTAGATTCTATATAATGATGTCTCGGATATAAAACAACAAAAGAAGACATGGAGACGACAGGTTCTGAACCAGAAATCAGACACATTCGTAACTGAACCAGATGAAGTCTTAACTCTCGGTCTGCTCTCTCAACCTCCGGATAGTGCTCCTAACGGTGACTGCACTGGCGGTGCTGCAATTTTCACGGAGATATAATCAGAAATCAAAGTGTGGGCAGGCCTGATTCTGGAGCCAAACAGGAGAGAAGCAGAATAAAGAATAAAAACACTTACTTCATTGTGTAAGCACCACCCGCCTTCACCTTGCCACAGTCTTTGCATCCCCATATACCGACAGCCTTCCTCTTGACAGAGTACTGAATCGGCGATTTTAGATTTCAGTCAGAGACAACAGCATAGCCAACACGGTGGTGGACAGATCATAGGAAGTAATAAGGAAAGTGCATTACCTTGCCACAGAACTCGCAGAAGTACTTGCTGTGCTGGCTGACCTCCATCTTCTTTATCTGTTTCCTCAGACTCGCACCATAGCGAGTGCCTGAATCATTGGGATTCATGATTAGAGATTCGACACTGTAGTGACTTGGTGGTACAAACCCATGGAGACAAAAAAAAAAGTTCTCTGTGGATCAAGGATCCAGGAGCAACTGTTCTGTTACGGTCTACATGAGGTCACAAAGTTTGATATTTGGGGAGGTAATTCGACCGCCCAATAGTAAAAGGTCTCAACTTTTTCCGAATGATTGCCGTAAACATTAACATGCAAAATGTAGAACCCTTGAACACTTTGAAACCAGCTGCCTAAATAAACAGAGATATTCGAACGACTTCTCCGATATTATCAAGTAGAGATATGATTTCAATTTCACATCCTAACGACAAATTTCTATTCAAACACATTACAAAGTAGAATTAGACTCCATCCTTTCTTCCCCGACACTATGACCATTCACAAAATGCTTGCATGATACCTAATTGAACTCTATAAGCCAGACAGACAGACATCTTAAAAGCAGGATAGCTCACCGTACTTCCCAACGATTCCAGCCTTCTTCGTTCTCTTCGTCTGCGGAAAAGTCGAGCCAATCAAAACAAAGGAAGTGAACCCGATACATAAAGAGACAAAAGGAATTCAGACGACAGTACAAATAAAATCGACGATCTCCGACCAGCCTTTATCAAAGTTCCGAAATAATGATAAGAAGCGAACACTGTATTTCTCGAACCAGAAAACGCCCGTACAACTCGGTAAAAGTTTTAGAATTCTCCCCCACTCCTTAACAAGCATCAAACACCGACACCATAGATAGATATACAAGTGCGTGTGTGTGTGCGTGTATATATATAGAGAGAGGACTTGAATTACCATTTTGAAAGCAAACAGAGGCCGGAGGAGGGAAAAACCCAAAGAACCCTAGTGAGCTTCGCCGGCAGGAAGAGAGGAAGGAAAAGAGAACTCGCGACTCATTTTTATACGGCATCGTGGTGTATGTATGGGAGAGCTTGAAATGACGATATCGCCCTTTTCAATATGGGCCTTTTCGGATTAAGAGGCCCAATATAAATTGGGCTCTAACTATTACCGGCCGCTTTTGTTATTTCACCACTATCACCACTATTCGCCATTTCCCCTTTTTTTGGTATTCCAATCAACACCAAAATGGGCAAAGAGAGAAAAAGAGAACCCTTCTGATGCTGGCTTGAAAATTTCCAAGTTAATGTTATATTTATCAAGGAATAAAATTCAAAAGGAAAAAAAAAATACAGAAGGCGAGTCCGGATACTATATTTAAGCCCTTCAAATACCCCTCCCCCCTTTGCCCAAATTAGTGAAGGCAGAAAAGCATAATACCCCTAAACATTTTTTTTTTGTTTTTTGGTCACATTGCCCCCGTTTTTTTTTTCTTTCCACTAAGTGAACTTCTCTAATATCTTAGACCGGTTCGGTTCGCGTGGTTTGAATTCCTCGAGCAGCAAACCCGAGCTCCGGCGTATATCCTCGAATGCAGCCTCGCCCACCTCTGACTTTATAATCTCCAACGCACTTCCCATCACATCGCCTCCGAGCCCACATTCTAATAAGCTTCCCGGCTCCTCCCCGCCCTCTCGTATCAGCCGACCAATCTCGGCCAAGGGGACTACCTTCTCGGTCACAGCCTTTCCGAAGATTCTCCCGAGAAACTCTACTGCTCTTGGAGCATCGTTCACGGCATCTTCCAGAGTTGTAAGAACCGATTCAAACCTGAGGGAAATCGGGTCAATGGTATAAGTTCAAATAAAGGGTTCAGGGGCTAAATTGTGGGTCGAAATCTTTAACGTACCCTTTAACCAGTTGGGCTCCAGTTATGGCGCCATCAAGAGACTTCACGAGATTAACGAGGAGCTTAGCCAAGAGATCTCTTTCCATATCCTTTCTCTCGAAAGAATCAGTAACCCAGAGAGAAATCATTGTTGGGTGAAAGCTTGGTGAATGTAGGTCTTTGATGCATAAACCAACCTCCTTCTCATCTCGGGCACTGCACATGATACAACAGTTGATCAAAATCTTGTGATTGATACTAAGGGCTTCTGTATAAGTGGATAACGTAAAGATATAGCACTGCAGTCAATCAAGGCCAAACTTTAACCCGTAGCTGGAAACAGATTCACCGGTATCACTGTTCCAAAGCTACTCCATATTTCAATCAAGAAACAAAATATCAGCTCTTCCAAGTGCGCCACTAGTTTATTTCTCTCTTATTCTTTTTTTGTTTGGCTGAAATGATCAACTCTAATTAACTATTTCAAGCATGCAGTCTCAGGAATGAAAATCTACAATGTCAAGCAGAAAAAAAAACAGCCGCTAACCTGAAGATGAATGAACCATAAGTTATTACGAACACAAGTTGTCAGTGTGTGACATACTAGATGTATCCAACGACTATTAGACAAACAGCTGGAAAGAAGAGATTTACCTGTAAAATTCCTTAATTGTTGCCATAGACATGTCATGTAGGCGTTCCTCTGACAAAACGTTTTCTGAAGCAGCATTTTCAGTTGAAGATGCCCCTGGTGCAGACAGATCAGAAACATGAGCAGAACCAGCAGAGTCCCTAGTGCCATAACTTGTGCCCTTCTGCTCTTGAGGACTGGACTTAGATCGTCCATAAGCAGCGGCAGGACTTGCGGGTCTATGTGTGCCAAAACCATTCAAACTAGCAGGTGAAGCATTCGAAGCTACTGCCGGCCTTCTTGTAGACATTCCTTGACCAAGGCCACCTTGTGGACCCAAGGTAATAGACTCCTCACCTAATGTCCTTTGAGGCATTGGAACTGCCCTACCCTCATAAAATGGTCTCTCCTCGAATCGGGCGTCCTGATTACCAAAGCTACGAGCTTGGGTTAACCCGTGAAAGTTACCTGTTTGGGCACCAGGAGATGACATCATGCCTCCTCTTGGACCAAAATCAGAAGGTCCCTTCCTCATCGAGGAACTAATAGAGGCCCCACGTGCAAGCCTGCTAGTTTGAGTTTGACGTTCTTGAGCAGCATCTCTGTGCACTTCCTCGATTTTTTTTGGGCCTTCAACTTTCCTCCTTTGCTGCCATTTATTCTTTCTCAGATCAATGGCATCTTTCAACATGAACCTCACTCTAGAAGACAGTTCTTGTTTATTAGACAGCATTTTCATTTTCTCGAAATATGCATCTATAGAGCCCTTAGCTTTGGAACGGTCGATCATCTCTCCTATTGTGCTCATTAATCTACACAGAGCCTCAATATTCTCCTCATCTGGTTCCTCATTATATCCGAGCATCTTCTTGATGCATCCGTGCATGATTTTCTCGGTCAACATCGTTTTCTTGTACAACTCACCGATAAGTCTAATATTACCCAGCATTCTCCGTCGAGCCTTAACTCTCTTTTCTTCTCTTTCCCCCTCAGTTTGTTCTAGTTGCCCTTCTTCAGCTCTGCTAGCTTCCTCTTCTTCCCTTTCCCCCCTCTCAAATTCTTCTTGGCACTTGTTGAGAAGCAATCTTTTAAAGTTAGTCGTTTCTTCGTTCTCAATAATAAATTCAGGCAACTCGCTAGACAGATGCAGACAGAAATCTGCATACATCTCACAGAAGGTAGGCTCCATTAATGCTTTGTCAAATATCTGTGAAATGACACCCTGAAGTGTAACAATATTGTCAATGTTAACACTTTTCACTTGCTCAAACAGTTTTTCAAAGTTTTGAGGGGTCAGCTTGTTTAAGATGCCCTTCAACTGCCTTTGCTTTGCCTCTTCTTCATCGGCCACTTTACCAACTTCATATTTCTTCTCAGCTCTGTGCATCTTCTGTGCTGGTGTATGCGGAGAAGGAATCAAACCTTTGTGCTGGAAATTAGTAGCACGTTGCCACCTTTCAGAGTCAGGACTATTTCGTCCCATTACTCCAAGAGGACCCACAGATTGCATTGGCCTAGACATGATAGGTGCCTGCATACGTGGATTTCTTAAAACTCCTGAGCTTCCTCCTTGACCAGGTCGGAAGCCTAAGTTACCACCATATCCTGAACCAAACGAACCAGGATTCTTCATCCATCTGTCATCAACAGGCATATTGCCAGAACGTCGATCTAATCGGGAAGAGCTGCCTTGACGATCCATAACCTTTCCAAGGGTACCATACGAATCACGTTCAAGATGAGATACACCCACATTAGCACTGATCATGAGATCTGCAATTTCAGGCGCCATCTCAAAGCCCACAGGAAGAGCAGTGCACTTGTCTGCAAACTTAAGGAGGAAGTCCCGAGAATACTTCATTTTCTTGTTCTCATTGCTGTCTTTTAAGTTGTCTCCTCTCTCTGCATGCACAGCAGAATCTGCAGTTCCCAAATTCGGTGTGGAGACATCAGCAGCATCCTCCCAGTCTTCTGGTTCGTTTTTCACCTGTTCAACAACCTTGGGAGCTTCAGTAACAGCATGATTTCCATGGACAAGTGCCTGTTTAGGGTTTGAAGCGTCATTGACAGCTGCGCTTTCTGAAGGTGTTGCTGTCTCTTCTTTTTCCTCAGGTCCTTTGTAAGCCATGTAAAGGTCAGAAGTTGTCCCAGCAGCATCTGCTTTTTGAAGAATCTCCTTTTGCCTCTTCTTTCCTCTGGAAGTAGTATTTCTCAGTGTGTTTGATTCTAATGGAGATTTATCCTTTGAAACAGCGACGGGAACAGAGGAGAAACGATCATCAGCATTTTCAGCACCATGATGTCCCAGTGGCCTTTCAGAGTGATAAGTGGGAGCACTTGGGGACTGCACATCAGCAGAATGCATAGGCACAGAGCTCAAAATTACTGCAACATCAGCAACATTTTCCGAACCTGGACAAGCACTGGAGGTAGCATCCGCCTCGGGGGACCTATAATTGTACAATAATTCATTTAAGTCAGTGTGCTGATCAATAATATTTCTCAGCTCCACAGATCTCGAATCGAGTAGTTCTACAGAAATTCCAGACCTTTCAATATGCTTGTCAGTCACACCCTGATCACCTCCAACATTGATTCCTCTAGCATCACAGGTTCGCTCTACATCTTGCAGAGAGCCACAAATCTCTGAGGAAACACGCCTTGACTCTTCTGTAAGTTGGTCTACATTTGAGTGTGGTATGTCAGAAGCCAAAGTATCAAAAGACGCCTCAGCCAATTCATCCCTACACCCACTGGAAGGTGGAACTGATGGATGTTCCCTAGCATTAATTGCTATTGAAGTTAACTCATCAGTGGGAAGACAGGAATCAAAAGTCTGAGGTTCTTGATTAGCCTGCGCAATATACAAAAGGAGAAACAACAAAAGATCTTTAGAAGGTAAAAGGAACAGAACAAATAACAAAATCACAAACTAAAAACACTATTATGTACCTCATATAAGCGATGAACAGGTTCCTTCTTGCCTGTATGCTTCTGATGATCTCCAATAGGGTTAGAATCATCCACTGTTCCACCTAGTCCACTTTCATCTTTTGAAACTGGAGGAGCAAATGGAGTGGATACCCCAGAGACAGATCCAGGTTTCGGTTGCAGTGAAGAGCTTGTTGAACTTGAATTGGCGTTCTTTTCTGGAAAAGAAATGTTAGCTTCTCCAGATGGCCTTAATACTTGAGGCGATCCAAGTTTTCCAGAAGCAGCAACTGGCTTCACCGATACCTTTGAAGTTGCAGATACGCCAGATGAACTTGCAATTTGTGCATCACGCTCATGTGCCACAGATGATGAAACTGAAGAAGTATGTGAAGGGGATATAGCTCTGACAAGTTGTGACGGGCTATTAGCATATTGATTGACGAATTGTACACTCTGAGACCCTTGGGCTGGAAAATTAAATCTTGGTGGTTGAGAATTGGCTGCCATCAGATTACTGTTTAGTGGTACAGAAACAGGGGGGAACAACATGGCGTTGGTGTTATATGAGCTCTGCATATAATTACCCGGACGAGGAGCAAAAGATAACACTGGCTGTGATACTGGAGGCATATTAGGAAGAGATTTCACAGCCGCTGATCCACTGTCTGAATAAGTATCGCCTGGCCGGTCAAAACTCAGCTCCTCACGTGTGTCGGGATGAGTAATCTTGACAGGGGTGGTCTTACGTTGCCCACCAACTTTTCCTTGCTGCTGGGGATATTGTGGGCTCACACCCACACCCATGTGGCCTAACTGTGGATGAATCTGAGTGCCCATTGGAGTTGCAAAACCCAATCCCTGTGCCTGATGCATCATACCCTGATGAGGCATCGGATGAGACTGAAGACCTTGAAGAAACATCTGCTGTTGAATTTGTGGAGTATTTCCCATAGATAATGCCATAGGCATTGGCATCTGAAATGAGGTGGCAGAGACATTCTGAGGCTGCATATGCATATTCGGGCCACCAAAGTGCACAGGATGAGGAATCTGGGGATGCTGATAAGGTGTCTGCACAGAAGGCATTCGAACAGGTAAGATGGGGGACTTTTGAGTCTGATTTGGATGGGGTACGTGTGCAACCTGCACATTTCTTTTATCCTTGGGTGTTGCATGGGCCTCTTTACTGACAGAATGATTATCCATAACCTTATTTGGCAACTCTTGCTTAGGGACAGGAGTTGGCAGATTCGGTGCTGGTCTTAAAGAACTTTGGTGCATCTGCAAGCAAAGGTAAAATCCAACAAAACAAAATTTCAGAAATATTCCTTCCAGAGATTAACAGGCCAGGCTGAAAACCAAACCAGTACAATTTCGCTGTGCAAGTGTGCATGTGGAATACAAAACAAAGTGTAAGACACAAACTACCCATCGGTATATAAACAAGCAAGAACTGATCGAGTTAGGCAACAATCCCATTGATGGCAGAGAGGAAAAGGATAAGGTCGACCTGTGCACGTTTCTGTTCATCCAAATTCGGAGGCGCTGAGCTAGTACGAGCAGGAATCTAAAAAAATCAACAGGGCAGAAGCTTTATGTGCTGATAGAGGCATTGAAAAAATAACGATAGAAAATTTTCAACGACCAACAATGAAGGCACAAGAAAAAAAACAAATTCAGAAGTTGATAGCATACCTTCATTAAGTCGGGACCCAGTGAACCAAATTGGAAAGAAAATGCTTTAGATGCATCCCCAGAGGCTGCCATAGAAACAGCATAATCAAATGAGTTAATGGTTGCACAGGAGTACTTTCAATTATGCTCTCCGTGATATACTACTCTGTACACGTCAAAAGACGATGCAAGACAGCCATACCCTTAGCAGGGGTCGACGGCTCATTGCTCTTGGAACTAATGGTGGCAGACTGAGAAGGTGGAGCCTTCGGAATAACTCGGCTATTTCTGCTGGTCGAGGAATATTCAGATTGATTGGTGGTGCTGGTTCCACTAACTGGTTCATCAGACACTCCTGTAACGTGACACCATAAGAAATCTGACCTAGTAGAATTGGGTTATGAGACAGAATCTACACAAAATGGACTACCATCCAAAAAAGTATAAAATTTATCCAATTCAAGAATCAAGAGACGGCTTAACAATACAACAAACGACGCAAAATGCAGGGAGTATGAAGCCCCGTTATTGAGATCGTACCCTGAGACTGGGACTGTACATTGGAACCATTCTGATTGTTAGGAGGCAGAGAAGCGTCCTTAGTACCCGAATAATTAGGAGGCGGCAAATTCACCCGAGACTGCCCTCCTTGAGCATTGCCAGGTTTCTTAACGCTGACGAGAAGAAGACACGAGACATACCACCAAACAAAACAAATCACCAACACGAGCAATATTGCAAAATTTCAAGTTCAAGACAAAAACCCATCAGATCGAATACCTGCGATTTGAGGAAAAAGACGACGCATAGGACGCTGAAGAGTCGGCCGACAAGAGAGGGGCGGGCGCGGTGGCTGAGCCGCCACCGCCTCTACCGTAACCACCGGAGGAAGATCGCTGCTGCTGGTGCTGATGATGGTAACCGGCCGATCGCCCAGTTCTGCGGTATTGTGTGTCGCCTCTGTCGGACCTCGATTGATTGTAGGACATATATACCGAACCCTAGTTTACGCCTGCCAAGCTTAATTTTACAGCTCCGCGATAGAGTGAAACACTAAACAGAGACGAAATTAGGGTTTTATTCGACGGGCATGATTCGGGGACGAAGAAACAGAGAGAGAGATAGAGGAGAACGAGAGAAAAAAAATGCGAAATAGATAAAAAGAGAGAAAAAGGAAAATAGAAAGGGATCGCAGAGTGAGGGAGGGAGTTCGGCGTAGTACCTAAGAAGTAAATAAGGGCTAATTCAAGGGGCAAAACAGGGAAATCACATATAAACGAGCGAAACTTTGGTTTGGTCAACGAAAGAAAGTAGGGCTTCGAACGGACGCAGAGATTTTCTCAATATAACAAAAAAGAAATCGATGCGATTGCCTTTGTTATATAGAGACGGAGATTTTTTACACCAAATATATATATATATATATTTATATATATACACATATATAATGCGTTCCTTGATGAAATAGGTATACAATTTTCCCAACGACATTAGGAATAATGATGGTGGTTGGATTAAATTTTGGTAACCGTATGGCTTGTTCCTTGAGCAAGCGTGATTGGTAAATCATACGATGAGCAGTTCGAACAAAAGCCCAATAGGTTGAAATATAAGCCCATAAGCAATCGAGGTTTCTAATTTGGGTTTATTATGGGCCAAGTGATGTCAGTTAAAGCCCATTTTTTGGCCCAAACAATGAAAAATACTTCTCGCTTTTTAATTACTCAATTCGAAATTAAATTCGGATAATAAAATTCCAATACAAATGCTTTTATAATTTTGATTCATTTTTTTATCCACGTACATTCATACCGATAAAATACTAAAGTTTGTTTGATTATATTTAAGAACATATTATAAAAACAATTACTAATCATTTATCTCCGGACAGATTCGAATTCAGAATTTTTTTTTTGGATTAAAAATTCATTTTCTCAAAGAAATTATCAGTTTAGGATATTTTATTTAACCGGTTTAGCTTAAATTTCGTTTCGGTATTTTCTAGTTTAAAAAATCATAATAATTTGATTTGTATATTGGATTCGATTAGGTTCAATTTCGATTATATATTATTCCAATACATTTGAATCATCAATTCTGTTAATAACCAAAATAAACTCCCTACCGTATTTGCCTTGCCTTACGGATAATATTAGATAAAAGCCAAAGTTACAAATTTGAATCCAAAAAAAAAAAACAAAATACTTATATAATAATATTCTTCCTCGCATATGTAAAACAACAGAACTTATGCGACCACGAGAGTTCCCGTCTGAAATATTTTTCCGGCGGATGAATCTTCGGCTCCGGCCGATGTACGGACAGATCTGGACGACCCTTTCCAGTTCCTCTCTCTGGCTTCATCCAAGTCCATCTGTTCTTCTCTGCACTCTTCGCTGCAAAACGCTGTGTCGCCTCTACAGATTTCACATCGCGCAACATCCGCCATGGAAAAAGATCATCAGATGCAAATTCAAACCCATCTCTTCTCGGACTACTAAACGACTTTTCTGGGAAAAGTCACATCGCGCAACATCCGCCATGGAAAAAGATCATCAGATGCAAATTCAAACCCATCTCTTCTCGGACTACTAAACGACTTTTCTGGGAAAAGTTCTGGAAGGAAAAGGCAAGAACTTTGGGTCGTTTACCAAAAAAAAAAAGAACTTTGGGTCCGGTTTCTTGGATTTTCCGGGAAACCAAGGGGAGGAAAACGCAACTTACAAAACCCATATCCCAAAATTTCGATTCTTGAAAGTGAAGACAAGTCTTAAGCTTTGTTCGATGAAAGAGCAAAGGACCAGTACCTGTACATGTAGATGTCGGAGTTAAGACCAAGGGGTTTGCGGCAAAGAGAACATGATTCCAAGAACCCGGCATAGGGCGAACCCATTCTGATCCCTCGCCCGGAAACTATCGAGATTTCTCGACCAGATTTTGAAATCGCAGAGCAAAATGAATCGCTGTGCTTGATTCTATTCACGGGGGAAGAGAGAGAGAGATAGAGAGGCGGAAGCTGGGGTGGACTGATTGGCCCCTTTATACAGCAGTTTTTTCGGGCTTTTGGGTTGACCTTACTGAATCAGCTGCATCACAGTCCATCGTAGCATTGGTGGTCTACCATCAATCGTGACCGTTCATAGCCACCTGATTTCGATCTTATAGATCTGAATATTAACATTTTCTTTTTTACCAAACATTAAATTTAATTAGCTCCACTGTGATTTCTTACACTAAATGCCTCCCAACGGAAATCCAATCAAAATACAATGTATTCAACTGTTTCTTTTGTGTGTTCTGTATTTACCAGACTCTAATTCAATTCAAACGTTTTTGCAGTCATAAATACGATAGTCACATTTTCAGAAACTCTCAGTCCATTAAATTCAAAATTAAATATAAGGTAATATTCTCACTATTATTCTCAACTAATAATCACCTATATATAACTCGTGAAGATAGGAAAAAACTATATGATATGATCGCATGCATACATTTCAAATGTTTATGTACGCACCGTCCGTCACCCATGGATCTCGTTCGTCCAATGCATCATTGGATGCAATAATAATATGATGGGTGGAGCTTTCAATGTAATAAATGAATTTATGCTAGTTCCCTATACGTATTTTATTTTTTCTTTAATTGGTGCGATAACGTTAAATGATATACGCACTCAACTACTTACACGTGTATCGAGTTGCATGTACAGATTTGCTGTCGTTATATTAAAATAAGAGATACGATCGCAATATATTATAATATAAGATGCTTTCTCTAAATAGGGGTCCACAGGTTTGTTACGTGTCGATCCGACAACAGTGGGACCCATGAAGACATGGAGATGGGCCCATATATCACGATGGTGCATGTCATCGTCATTCGGGCCCATTACCGTTCCCCTCTACCTACGGCCGTTTAGGCCCACTATTGGCCCATTATATTTGTTTGACCAATGATTTCCACCTGCTCCAAAATCGTCCTACGTGGCAGCTATATGGAGGTGCGTGTCTGTTCAACGGTCAGGATTTTTATGGTGACTGCGATTGGAGACTATAGTTTCGATGTTCGGTTCAAGATTTTTTTTTTTTTAATCATAGTTTCAACGTTAAAAGTAGAAATAAATTTATTTAAACAAACATCGTATTAAATTTTATAATTGGAATACTCAATCCAATATTAAATACGCGTATTACTTTGGGCTATCAAAATCGGTACAAAAATTTATAACCTTTTGCAACTATTTTCCATTGGAATGGTCGTTGATGATTTGATTACTTCGGCCTCTACAATGGGCCGTTATTGGGCCCAGAAGAATAATCACGTTCATGGGTTTTGTTCTGTAATGAACAGATTTGGTCGGGTTTCTGACTCTTCGTGGCGCGATGGGGGACCGGAAGATTCCTGACCGGCGGCTTTTGCTATGGTTCTTCGCCGTCGTCACCGCCGTGAAACTCCTCCTCATCCCGTCGTACCGGAGCACCGACTTCGAGGTCCACCGTCACTGGCTCGCTCTCACCCACTCTCTCCCTCTCTCTCAATGGTACTTCGACGAGACCAGCCCCTGGACCCTCGATTACCCTCCCTTCTTCGCTTACTTCGAACGCTTCCTCTCCGTTTTCGCTCGTCTCGTCGACCCCAAGATCGTAGATCTCCACGAAGGAATCGATTACAGCGCCGATTCCGTCGTCTTCTTCCAGAGGATCACCGTGATCGTTTCGGATCTGTATCTCCTCTTCGGGGTCTACAGATTGACCAGGAGTTTGGACTCGATGAAGCGGAAGCTGGTCTGGGCAATGGTGATCTGGTCTCCGGCGCTTTTGATTGTGGATCACATACATTTTCAGTATAACGGGTTTCTTCTGGGATGGCTGTTGCTGTCGATTTCGTATTTGCAGGAGGGGAGGGATCTGATGGGCGGGTTTCTATTCGCTGTTCTCCTCTGTTTCAAGCACCTGTTCGCCGTTGCCGCGCCGGCGTACTTCGTGTATCTGCTCAGGCATTATTGCTGGTCCGGGTTGGTTAGCGGTTTCCGGCGGCTTTCAACCATGGGCGCGGTGGTCGTGGCGACCTCCGCCGCCGCGTATGGTCCGTTCCTCTACTATGGACAGGTAGTTTAGCTTCGAGGGCAGACCGTCGCATGTAATTTAGATCAGCTTAGTGAGTATTGTAGATTCTAAGTGATCGCCAAAGGCCATTGCTAGTGCGTTTGGTTTTCTTTGGACGTAACTGATCTTATTATGAATGCGTTTAGCTGTAGAAATCTGTCTCTCACCATTTCCATTGGTGAGCTGTGCATTTTCTAGACTAAGGCAATGTTGGGTTTAGATTGATGTTTCTTCTTATTCTGTTGCAGATACAGCAAGTCATCAGTCGCATGTTTCCTTTTGGGAGGGGATTGTGCCATGCTTACTGGGCACCAAATTTTTGGGTTTTCTATATATTACTCGACAAAGGGTTGGCCTTTTCGCTTCGTAAGCTTGGGTTCAGTGTTCAGATTCCATCAGCTTCTTTCACAGGCGGATTAGTCGGGGATTCTTCACCTTTTGCTGTACTCCCTCAGGTATTTCTGCTGACAAGATCTTTGATTAATTGGTCTTGTTTGTTGTTTCTCGTGTCTGCTCCAATCTATCTCACCCTTTTTTGGCTTTCTGCAATGCTAGATCACTCCCTTGACAACTTTTGCAATGGTATTGCTCGCTTTATCGCCATGTCTCGTCAAGATTTGGCAGAAACCCCAGCCTGAGCTTGTTGCTAGATGGATAGCTTATGCATATACATGTGGGTTTCTGTTTGGATGGCATGTCCATGAGAAAGCATCGCTCCACTTTGTTATCCCACTTGCGATAGTTGCTGTCCAGAGCTTAGAGGACGCAAAACATTACCTTTTGGTTTCTATAGGTATGCTTCTTTTGAGTGAATCGTTGACCATGTCAACAATGCTTAGAACATATGCTAATAGGTTGATATGTTTCTGTAATCGGCCTGCAGTTTCTTGTTATTCGCTCTTTCCACTGCTATATGGAGCACAGGAATACCCGATCAAAGTTCTTTTATTGCTACTGAATTCCATCGTAGTATGGCTCGGATTCACTGCTCAACACTCATTCACCAAGGAGGGAGACAAACCTCTGAAGCATAGCTCTGGTGAAATCAGGAGCAAGTTTGGCATTGGATGTGTTAGAAAAAGTTACCTCTTTGGTCTTGTTATAGTAGAGATAATGTCTCAGTTCTTGCATCCATACTTTCTTGGAGACAAACTTCCCTTTCTACCCCTTATGTTGATCTCTACATACTGTGCCTTTGGCATAATGTACTCGTGGATTTGGCAGCTCTGTCGGATCCTGACATAAAAAAAAAACTCCTTTTTTTTTCTTTTTTTTTTCCCGTTTTATTAATCTTTTGAGGATTGACTAGGGGCTTGAGAAGAGAACACTAAAACCATTGATCTCACTCATGTTTGCCCTCGAATTATTATACATCTAGTGAAAAAGCGGAATAAAAAGACTAACCGGATCGATCTGTGTGCTCCTTCCGACACTTTTGGAACGTGGGTTCTTGTTACACTGTCGTTTCCTAATCTTATTTTCAGCTCCAAGAAATCTGGGAAGGGCAAGAGGCATGGGAAGGGTGGTAACCGCTTCTAGAAGAACATCGGTCTGGGTTTCAAAACCCCCAGAGAGGCTATCGAAGGTATGATCTATTTCTTAGCTTCGTTTTCCGCTACTACATTGTCTGCAAATCTTAGTTTATGAAGCTGCGAAATCGTATGTACAGAAAAGTGGATCTGGAGTGTTAGATCTTCTTGTTATCCTGTGCTATATGTTGAAGAACAGTTTGGTTAGTAGGCTTCCAGTTGAATGTCACGTATCGTGCTTTCGTCTTTTTCTATTTGATTGATGATTCGTGTGTTATATAACATACCCGGCATTGCAGTTCCTACTCTGGTTTTGTTGGTTTATGGTCTAGAGCTGTTTCATGTGTACTTTTAGCTCATCTGTAAAGGTTTCTTGCAATCTAAGGCTTTACAGTTTGATGGCATCTGTTAACTTTTCTGGGTTTCGGACCAATGAATACTACTGTATCTATACATTCAGGAACGTTCATCGACAGGAAGTGTCCTTTACCGGTACTGTTTCTGTCAGAGGCCGTATATTAGCCGGAACTTGTCACAGTGCAAAGATGACCGAGGACAATCATTGTTTGTAGGAACTATCTTCACTTTGTCAGGAAATACCGAAGGTAAAATAGTTTCGATGCATCTTCTTCATAACGTTCCCGTCCTCATTTGCGCCCTATATGGAGAAAACTCGGCAT